TGTTGCTGGAGTATGGTTCAGCCTTACACACACACTAATACCAGAAGAGATGTCGCACTGTGTGATGGTTTTAATGGTTGCTAATGTGGAGTTAATATCGCTTTGAGGACCAACGTTAACGTCAGCTCGGATTCACCAAACACCAGGACGTTAAAGTCGCAATATTGTTTTAACGTGACTTTACTACTTTCATTATTCAAGAGGCAATATCGTCGATGAACGTACAAGTTAATAACAAAGTTTTTTTTTTTTTTTCCATGTTAAGAGTAAATAAACGTTAAGCTAACTGATGTGTGCCGAAAAAAAACTTCCGTTCAACCGGTTAAAACTTACCGGTAAAATCTTATTTCCGATCCTTTGACAAACTTATTGTTGCACCCTACAACCGCACAAATGACGGGCATGGTGTCCTTTTTTTTTCTGTGTCGAAACTATCCGGTAATGGAGACAATTGTGCTGAAAACGAGCAGAAAAAAAAAAAATAAATCTACACTTTGTGATTGTTGATCGTTCGGCTTCTTCTTCGGTGGAGATAAATGAGGACATCCGCTTCCACTTCCGGTTTGGCATTGGGAGAGTCTGCCCTCTGGTGGCGACTCAGATAAACATTAAATTGTTTCCTCACTGTCGTAGAAAAAGAGTCTAAACAACTGCATGACACAACTATAAACTGTATTATATAGGTTTCACACTAATCTAGATGTTTTGTTTAAAATCTAAGAAGAACTGCACATGTGTTGTTTTATGTACAAACTACTGAAACAGATGTTTTAATGTCTTCTGTGCAGATTAGAATTAAAATAATAAATACCTTCTAAATCCAAGTACCTAAATACATTTACACAGTGCTGTGCTTAAGTACAATTTTGAGGCACTTGAGTGTTACCATTTTAGCTATTACACAATTTTTTTATAGATAAAATTACCCAAACTATGACAATAATAATCCAGTAAAATAAGATGAAATAAAACAATAATGTGGCACAGTAGTGCAAAGAGTAAATAAAGAGAACAAACACAATACAATAAAACAAAATATAATAAAAAAAATAAAGTATAAAATATAAAATATATACAATAAAGTGGAATATGATAAACCTGTGTATATCTGTGCATTCATCCTCCCTTTCCAAGTGCAAAGGAAAAACTATGACGGCTGCTAAACACCCAAAATGCAAACGTTAACAGCCTCAGCCAGTGGCGGTACAAGGCACTGGGTGCTGTGGTGTTGTGGAGTTTGATGGCTGATGGCCTTCCTCAACAGCAAAGAAGATGACACTGGCCACTACAGACTGGTGATCCAAGATAAGATATACCTTTATTAATCCCCTGCAGGAGAAATTACACACAGCAGCATTGGGGAATATAGTGCAACTGTAAAACATCCTTAGTAGCCTCAGTGCACATACATTGAAGGACCTGAGCCTCCTCAGAAAGAACGGCCCTGTCTTGTAGATTTATTTGTCCTTGTGTCATTTGAATGTCGAAAAACAGACGTGATGTAAAAGTCACATGAACTCTGATATGACTGTTCACACTGAGGTCACATTGCACAAAAATAAAAAAACAAAAACAAAAAAAAACAATCTGACCTGAGTCTGAACTGAAAAGCTCAGATTCCATATAGTTTGTATTGTTCACACTGGCATGAATAAAATCAGAGAGAGAGAGTCCCATAAGAACAAAGTTTAAAGGTCTGTAATGCCAACCATAATGTTGTATATGTGATATCATTATTACCACATGATCTGGAGATGTTTCTGCGACTTCACACACTCAGTTGCAGTCTGTAAGACTAAACCCTGGGCAGTAAAGTCCCCTCTCTCTCTGTGTGTGTGTGTGTGTGTGTGTGTGTGTGTGTGTGTGTGTGTGTCTCCTGCTGCTCCAGCCTGAGCTACCAGGGGCCGCTGAAATCACATGATATTTAACTACGCTGCCTAGCGAGCTAACATGCTAGCTGCGGGTGTGAAAGCCGCTGTCAGCAGCCACGGACGGACAGACAGACGGACAGACAGACGGACGGCCCTACCCTGACTAGCAAGTAGTCGCACACTCGTGAAGTCTCTGGCAAGTCAAGCTGTTTTGCTCTTTGTCGTTTCTAACGTTGTCCGTCATGTGAAGTTGAACTTGTTAAAAGGGAGTTCCTTCCGACTGCGAGGGTTGTTAGGCTAACGACACTGGCCTTGTTTGGATTGACTGTGAAGCTAATCTCACCTGAATATCCAGTTGTAGGGGGTTTTTATTATTTTATTTTATTTAAATTCAAGTATTGTTAACATTATCTAATGTTTACACACCGAACTTGTTTTCCAGCCAGTGAGCTGACATTAAGGCTGGTTAACTAACTCACTTAACTCGGCTAATGTTAGCAGCACGTCTGCGGTCCAAACATCCACAACACAGCAGTGTGGGGAAAACTAGTTAAATGTGTTTTAAGTCGCAGCTTGCTCTGTCAGGTGTTCACTTACATAACACGGTTGCGAAATAACGCCAATGGTTGTAACGTCAAGTGTTGGTTAAGCGAACTAACTAACCACCGAGGGTAGCTTTTTAAAATTGGTTAATTTAGTTAACAAAGCCTGCCATGCTGTCTCATCTTGTTTCTAGTTTAATACGCCTGGTTGTGGTCTTGAATCTTACTAAATGTGCTTGGTTGTAGTGTGTGTGTGTGTGTGTGTGTGTGTGTGGGGTGGGGGTCGAAATAAGGTTTTAACTAAAAGCTCCTAAAAAACAATCCCTGGTCCACCCACACAGGTGCTTTGACTTTAGCAGATTAGTCCTCTGTGTGGTCGTGTACATGGCTGACATCTGTTACACCTGTTTGTCAGTGTGGTGGGATTGACTTATGGTACATCCTTTTTTTTTTTTTTTTTTTTTATCATATTCACTAGTTTGGTGACCTTACATGTTTCCCAGCACCACCCAGTGTTAACCTGAGCAGATGTCTGTAGACAGAAGAAGTGAAAACATCTGGGTGGGTCTGCTGCAAGGCCTTAAGCACTGAATGTCCTTCCTTCCTCTTCCATAAGTGTGTTGGTGGGAACTTTGATTCACGTTGGAGTCTGTGACTCCTGAAAGCACTGACTCTTTGCTTTCACACTGAGTTGTTGCTGAGTGTGGTAGTCCGTTTTTGCTTCACCGGTGAGAGTTACATCCGTTGGCGCCCTGAGATTTTGAGAAAGGAACATTTCCCACTCACTCGTGCTGACTGTATTCGTACACTGATGTTTGGTTTACTGACTGGGAGGCATTTACTACACAACTTTCTCACAATCACCCCGGACCCCACCGACAGGTTCGCTGACGGGGACTTGGGGCGTTGCTGCAAGTTTTTCAGGCTTTGTAATGTCCTGACTGCAACTAAAAATGTGGATATTCGCCTACAGATAGTTTATAATTTGTAGATGTTTGACAGATTATCTAGTATATATGTGACAATTCATGAACAGACTCTAACCCAAATTTGTGCCTAAACCTAACCAAACCTTTGTTTGTTAAACAGTTAAAATTTTACAAATACACCAACAGTCTGTAGGTAGACTATTCAAATAAAGTTAAAACATATTTTTTTAGCTAATTATGTTCTTGAGTGATCAATTCATTTTTTTTTCCTATAACATGTAAGAAAATTGTAAAAAAAAAAGTGGACAATATTATTTATGTAAGTTTACATATTAAAATGGCTTCTTTTGTCCAACCAGTAGTCCAGAACCTACAGGTATCCAGCTAATAATCAAAGAAGACAAAGAAAACTAATATTCTCACATGAGCGTGAACATTTTTGGGTTCGGTTTTGAATGAACTGAGTAATCAACCATCTAAATTATCGCTGATGAATAGATCGACTAGTTGAATAATTATGTTTCAGTTCTAGTTGCTAAATAATAAGTAGTAGTTACATATACACTGGCTTGTCTTACAATAAGCATGGTATCGGTAAGAGATTGTCTTGGCATTACAAATCTAGTTTAATTATAAGATCGTTCATCATGAAGGAACTGGTTTGACTAGTTGACATGTAAGATAAGAACTGTTCCTGTCTTTTCAGGTAGAGGCTAACGTATAATATTGACTGATTATGACTGAGTTGTAATCAGTTATAGGAGGTTGTAATTTCTAAAGCAGCTCCATTATGAGTGCTGTGGAACATTATGTTATTATATTCTGTGCAGAACTATGTGATTGAAAAAGGCTGTTTTAAAATAATGAAAGATGTTGGTTTTATTCGCTGCTTTATTGATTTTGTTGGCACTTTCATTTAATTTGCAGGAGTCTATGAAAACATGGACATGGACAAAGGTGACTGGCTGATAAGATGCAGGGGACATTGGACTTGAGCATAGAGATTGGGGTGGGGATGACATGAGTTCAAAGGCAGAGTAGGTTTTACAACCAAAGAATGTGAATTCACCCAATAAAAGTTGATCTATTTTATTACCATAAGCATTAAAAAACAGATTTTAGAGGTTGTTATCACAGAAGTCAAAGAATTGTAGACTTATATATCTGCTATGCTGACAGGATATTTGTCATATTGATTTGTGGTTTCCTCAATATGTGAATATTAGACCTGTTATGAATCTCAGTATCAGACCAGAGCCTTTCTCTTTCAGTTAAATTATTGACCCATTAAAGCTTGTTGTAATCTTGTTTGTGAATTTCATCTTCATATGCAGTGTGATATTTTGTGTGAAAGGCTTAGAACAGCCTTTACAGATTGGGATCTCAGGCAGTGCGCGACTGTACTGGTTATATTTTGAAAGAACTGGAGAAAAGATGGGGTCTTCCGTAGGTGTCTGTGTGGTACGAGACTGTCTTGGTAAAATGGGCTTCTTAAACACTCAAAGAGGAAAAAGGCTGGAGCGCCACAGCCCTGTGGGGATTTAAGAGCCATGCACATGACCAATAGTAACCTCTTGTGTTCCCTCTTTCACTCTCCCTCCTCCTCCCTCCCCCTCTTTCTCTCTATTTTCCCTCCTGTCTCCCATTGGGCATTGTAGAAAGGGACTCGTCTTCTTTCCTACTCACTCTCTTCAAAATATTGAGTCATTAAACTTGTGCCCAATAAGCCACTGGGGTTTGGGCATCCTCAAGGCTCCTCAGGCAAGCCAATTCTCCATCAGTACAGCGATATTGACAGACTGAGGTTGTGGACTCACATGGGCAAGATGGATAGGCGATAAATAAGACATCAACTTCAGAGGTAAGGTCAGTCCCACACTATGCGTGTGTCACAGAGTCACTGTGGCCATTTGATTTGAGTTGGAGTAATTTGAGCTTTGTATTAAACTGGCACATATCAACGTTACTTTAGAGGAAAAATCCCAACAAATTTGCTGTTAAATTCTGACATGGATATTTTTAAAAGCAAATATAGTATAGTCAGTAATACTTGGCGTCATTTTAATGTAACATTAGCCAACATTAAGTAAACACAGTCAGAAGTTTATGCACACAGGTGTCTCCTTCATTATTACCTACTATGTAAAAGCTCTTATCTTGCACTGCTGCAACAATAACCGCTTTACTGGTTTATCATGCTATTTAGAAGCTTATCATTGGGGCTTGGAATATTTTCCTCTGTCACCACTAAAGTGTTTCTTTATTTGTTCTGTTTTATTGTGGTTTCCCCCTTTAATTTCTGGTGATCGCAACATGACTAGAGTTATGTAATTTGAGACTTTCATGAGTTCTCCTTTCATTCTTTTTAACTTTTTGTACTTTTTGCTTCTCTCTGTGGCTCTTAACAATACCCCCCCCACACACACACACACACACACACACACAGATACACATACAATGAATGGGGCTAATAACGAGCAGCTTAACTTCACTAATTGATTAATAATAATGATATACTAACATCAGCAAACCAAATTCCGATTGGGAATCCACCTCATTTATATCAAAGATGGTTGATTAAATATCAGAAAAGTATAATGTAATACAGTTCAATAACACCACCAAATATAGCCTACATAATAACCATAAAGTTAAAAACAGTTTCAGCAAAAAACTGAACACTATAACCTTCATGAAAGTAGCATTTATTGCATTATACTGCATTAGTTCTCGTTAGGGTGACCTGATGAAATAACAATTGATATATGTCATTAATTTGTCATAAAATGGGTGTAGTGCAGTTCCACATTACATCACATAATAATCATTATTATACTTTATATTAGTATTAGTATTATATTATAATTTATGTCTTTTTTTTATATTTTTTTGTCACAACAATGAAAGAAATTGGCTTCCTTTTTGCAGGCTGGTTAAGAATAGCCCAAATCATGCATGTGTCTGCTGAATCAGTTTCCTGAAATGCAAACCTATGTGGCACATGACAAACTTTCAGTTCTGCTTTTACAGCCAGTTGGCTTTCCTGTACACGTTTTTTTTTTTTTTTTTTTTTTATAGGCACGATGTGAGACAACCAAGACTTGTAATATTTTGGATCTTTCTAAGAAGTGCATTATGCTGTGCAAGATCATTGATGTAATTTAACCACATCCCTGTTTTGAATGCGTACACAGCTGTCAGAGTTACTGTACGTAATCTACCACAGTGTTTGTTTGCTTCATTAATTTTCATTTTTAGTTTCTACTAAACCAAAGTTTAGTTTATAATTCTGGCTCTGGTTTGGTTTAATTGGCATCATAATTGAGTATGAGTGTTATTTTTATTCCACAGGTACACGTTGATTTCGTTATGACAAGCTGCTGTGCAGAAGATGTCCACGCTGTCTGTGACTGATATCCCAGATGTTGGTCATGGTAAGAGGAACCACTTTTGTATTTGTGCATTGTGTGAAATCAAAATGGACTGGGATCAGTTCTCTGAGTTCATCTTTGTTTTACTATGCCACAAAGTGTGTATAATGTTCTTGTTGTATGCTCTAGGAGTGGCTATCCTGCCTGGACTATTTATGCTATTATCTATTATTTTGTCAACCTAAAAGGAACATTTTGATTTATAATAAAATCAAGTTCATGCATAGGTGCTGAATCAGTTTTCTATAGTGAATCCATATGTGGCACATGATGGCTTTTGTTTCAGCAGATACGTAATATAAACTTGATAAACAAGAGTAGCATTTATTCCACGAGTATTACATTATATTGTATGCGTGTTTCTGTTACGTATCAGATTTTGGCTGACGAACGTCAACGTTTATTATGGACACCTGTCACAATGGTTAAAAGGTGGTTGGTGGTTGTTTTGAATGTGTTTGTGTCTCTTCCGTCAGATGAGAGTAAGGTGTTTGATGGGGCCTCTGAGCTGCAGCTGGACTGCATGGTTGAGGAGAGCAGTGGAAGCGCTACAATGAAGCACGATAGCCTGCTGTCGCTGGCTGACCTCTCCCACCCAGATGACTTCCCCGTCCCCCCTCATAATGGCCCTTCACTGACTGAGATGAGCAGCCCTTTGCCAATAGAGCTTACTGACATTAAACTGGATCCAGCTGCAGGTGACACATCTGCTAGCACAGGTCAGAGAAAAGTACTTACTTTAAATAGCTGCAGTACACCATTTAATGTTTCCTTCCACAGCTGACATTAGATTTGAATCCTTGTATTGAAGGCTTAACAAAAAACTGCTTTTAGATGGAGCGTTTCTGTAAATTAGTCAACATTAGTCATCGTTGAGGGAATACAGTAAATCACTGTGTGAGTGAATCACTTTCTGAAAATGACAACGTCAGAGCAGACATCTTGGTTAAGTTGCAGGGAAATTGTGATCTTAACATTTTATGGAAGTAGTTTCCTAGCACGTTCCCAGTTAGCTGCTGATAAACCAGTTTTAAATCTGGAATCTAATATAGTAGTACGTGTTTGTGTTGTGTTTGTGTGTTTATGTTCCTTCCAAGTTTGTTTGTGTGCATAATTGGACTGGTGTGACAACTTTCAAAGACTGGACTAACTGGTATTTCTTTCTACTAATCTTAATCAAGACATGTCTAGACTCATTTTCATGCCGCAATTGTTGGCTTTCTTACTTTTATTTTAATTATAATTCCAACCGAAAACAGATCCCGGATTCCCCCGGCTCCTCCAAGATACCGGAGCCCAATTTGCTCCCAGTGCTGCGCTTCGGTGTTTGAATGTGGATAAATGACTATTAACTTCTGCTTGTGATGGGATTTGCCATCAGTGTATGAATGTGTGTAAATGTGTAAAATGCTTTTAGTGGTTGGAAGATTAGAAAGGCACTATACAAGTACAGTCCATTTACCATACTTATTTTTGTTTAAATGTTTATTTTACAATCTTAATTGTAGAATAATAATAATTGCTTACTAGATCTGGACTTGCTAGATGTATGACAGGATGTGTGTAACTCGGTGAATTTGCATTGCATATCTGGCATTATGTACTTGGATATTATGCATACAAAGCTGTCTCTGACTTATCTCTGTTTAGATCAGATGCCTAGAAGTACTTATAGTTCCTTTATTCAAATGAGGGTAGTCTAACCTCCAGCCCATTTTGAATAACCTCTGCATGCAAGTTTCTGCCTCAGAGAATTTCCTTGACTGAAATTGCTGAAAGTGGTTAATATAGTTTATCCCCTCTCTTTTATGTGCGTACAGATGGTCAGCCAGTGAAGAGAAAAAAGGGGCCTGCTCCTAAGATGCTTGGCAATGAGGTGTGCAGTGTGTGTGGAGACAAGGCCTCTGGCTTCCATTACAATGTGTTGAGCTGTGAGGGCTGCAAGGGCTTCTTTCGACGCAGCGTCATTAAAAGTGCCCAGTACTCCTGCAAGAACAACGGCCGCTGCGAAATGGACATGTACATGCGCCGCAAGTGCCAGCAGTGCCGCCTGCGCAAGTGTCGGGAGGCGGGCATGCTGGAGCAGTGTGAGTGTCCATATGCCAAATGAATCAGAGATAGAGAAAATTTAGTTTCCACTGCATTTCGGCCTGTGGAATTTCAGCCAGAGTGAAAATCATGAGAATAAAATGGAACATCCTACTAGCTCAGAGATTGAGTTTTAGTCAAGTTGTGCATCCCTCTTTGTCCTGTAGGTGTGCTCTCTGAGGAACAAATCAGACTGAAAAAGATGAAGAAGCAGCACGAGGAGGAAACGGCCCGCACGTCCACAGTTGTCACCCCCACCCCTCTACAGGAAGCGGCCCCACTGGATCCACAGCAGCAAGAGATGATTGAGAAGCTGGTGGCCATGCAGAAACAATGCAACAAGAGGTCTTTCCTTGATCGACCAAAAGTGACTGTAAGTTAACGTCTCAGAAGAGAGACTTAGGTTTGTTATGACCAGATAATTGTCTCTCATGTAATATTACCTATTTAGTGACCAGGCATTTTATGGCTAAATTCAGTAGGCCTACTTTGGCAAAAAACAAACAAACATGAATACCTTCCAACTGTTTGGTGGTATTAACAATTAATTGGAACATGTGCTTCACTGTAACAAGGATTGCTTTCAGGTTAGGTATTCAGTGTGGGTGGCCAATATTCTGCCAGGACACGGCAGCACTAGGAGAAAATACAGTAACCGTGCGCCTATTGATGTGTGTGGGAGCATTGAGTCGCATCTGTCTCACATCTATAGTTTATGTCTGGTCAAAGTGTACTTGAATTAAGTATCTCTGCTGTCCACTTTCTACTGCTTTGCTGTATTGACAACATATCATGGGAATGTTTACTCCATGCTAACCAATTCATAACTGTGTGTGTGTCTGTGTGTGTGTCTGTGTGTGTCTGTGTGTGTGTGTGTGTGTGTGTGTGTGTGTGTGTCTGTGTGTGTGTGTGTGTGTGTGTGTCTGTGTGTGTGTGTCTGTGTGTGTGTCCGTGTCCGTGTCCGTGTGTGTGTGTGTGTGTGTCTGTGTGTCCAACAGCCCTGGCCACAGAGTCAGGACTTGCAGAATCGAGAAGTGCGTCAGCAGAGGTTCGCCCACTTTACTGAGCTAGCAATCATGTCAGTCCAAGAGATTGTGGATTTTGCTAAGCAGCTTCCTGGTTTCCTGGAGCTCACGAGGGAGGACCAGATTGCTCTACTTAAGACGTCTACTATTGAGGTTTGTCATGATTTATCGTGAGATATTGTCTTGTAGCTATAGCTTGAATTTTGAAATGTTAAAATCTGAATGCAAGGCATTGTTACTGCATAATTTATTCAACATTTTCTTGAATATGTTGCAAGTGAACTAAATGCAAGAACTTTTTAGAAGAAAGATTAATGTAATCTTTTCAAAATATAGTCCTAAAGTCATTATTCTGTGCAGCTTTATCATACACAATAGTACACATTTTAGTTCTTGCTGTTGTGGAAACTTAGTTGCTACCTACATCATTTTGACATATCAGTTTGTCTTAGTTTGGCTGTATATTAATATTTCATTCACCAAGATGCCTTTTGTTCCCTCAGATTATGCTGCTTGAGACATCTCGGCGATACAATCCTGCTATTGATAGCATAACATTTCTGAAGGATTTCAGCTACAATAAGGAGGATTTCGCCAAAGCAGGTGCATTTGTGTATTTCTTGCCGTCAAATGTTTATAGAAGATATGAATATTAGCCATCACTTTGCCTGTAATCCATCTGTCTTGTGTGCTGTTTAAAAAAATATGAGCAGACTCAGCCAAGTTTTGCATATTTTGTCTCAATGTAAATTGTCTATTGTTCTTACCCTCCTTGCCTAAACTATTACAACATCTAGACAATAACCATCAGACATGAACTACAACATATGAAACTCATAAATGCTGTGTATAGTGTATGTATATATATGTGTGTGTGTATATATATATATATATATATATATATTAGTATATATTACATATATATAACACAAAATTGTATATGTTTGATATGTAATTTATATAGAAAAAGAAAGATTTGTTGCTCTTACGTCACTGTTTTCTAATACTTCCACTCCTACTAAAGAAACACTAAAGCGAATGCTGTATTGTTGCATCACATTTCCTTTTTTAACATGTTTCCTTTTCTCCCTCTCAACTTTCACCTCTTCAGGGCTTCAGTTTGAGTTCATTAACCCCATCTTTGAGTTTTCAAAAGGAATGAATGACCTTCATCTGGACGAGGCCGAATATGCCCTGCTCATCGCCATAAACATCTTTTCTGCAGGTCAGAATTCATAAACTACACAACCTGCAGGGATTCCTCACTTCACAGGGCTCAAAGTGAAGATGTTTTTAGAACTAATGCTGCCCATGTGAATTGTTTAAGGGGCAAACCTGCTGTTTACAGTTGTAGATTTTGCATTTTTCAGACAGCATGAATCACATTTCACACTAAACCAATCTGATAATTTTATCTGTATGGAAAGAAATTAATGGGTTTTGTTTTGTTTGGGGAACTCTGTCTAGATCGTCCAAATGTGCAGGATCATGATCTGGTGGAGAGGCTGCAGCAACCCTATGTGGATGCACTGCGCTCTTACATCATGATAAAGAGACCAAATGTAAGTACTCAGTGGTGACCTCTTCTCATTTGACCTACGGTATGTCAGCATAACCTGGTTGGCGTCAGCACGACAAGCACATTGGGTCAGGGCTGAGGTTAAGTTGTTTTGTTCAGACTGGTGAGGGGCTTAAACATTTATAAGAACTAGATGAGAGGGGCTATTGGGAGAAACAGTTTTTAGTGTAATGCAGCTAGTAAATATGAGCCACCTAAATTCTTTAATCCCCCCCCATCAACTAAAGGTGACAGTTCAACATTGTAAGACATTCCTATAGATGTCACAGAAGCGATTGTAGGGCAACAGGTCTCCTGTCTTCTCCTAGTATTTTAAAAATGTTTGTTTCTATGGTTTCCTCAGGATCATTTGATGTTTCCCCGTATGCTGATGAAGCTGGTGAGCCTTCGTACACTAAGTAGCGTCCACTCGGAGCAGGTTTTTGCCCTTCGCCTCCAGGACAAGAAGCTTCCCCCGCTGCTGTCTGAAATCTGGGACGTCAATGAGTGACTGCAAACCTGATGTCCCATTCTGTGGCTTTATGAAGCCTGAGACAGACATCGAGCAGAAACACAGACTCCTTTCTGCCCATCTGGTCAGGGAATGGTTACCGCATTGAGATTTGTTTTCTTTTGGTGGGAGGAGAGCATCATTGCCCTTTGCTCTCGAACAGACTGATAAATGGTTTTGTGTTCATAAGTAGAACAATGGACACCTAGTTTTCTTTGACCGTTTTGTTGATGTTCTTTTTCTGTAGATGCTGACATGATTATGGCGATATTAAATACCAGCATCAGGCTCTGTAGCCTTTATCTCTGATTTAATATAGTTATGTCAGTCTCTGGTGCAGTTCTGTACTCATCCTCTAACAATTATAATGAGAAATTTCTGAGCAGGTCTTGGCTTTGGCTGTCTCAAATGTCAGGATTACAGCTGCACATTCAGTTGAAAGAGTGATTTTTTGCAATTGTGCAATAGGTGGAAATGGATACAGAGTTAAGCATGAGCAGACCCATATCTGCTGTTCACTTTATTGATGTTAGGTAAAATGGTAGGGCATCTAGGGTTGGTGTTGTGATATGGCAACAATTAGTTTGTGTTTGTTTGGAGTAAGTGCAGAAATCAAAAGGTTGGTGTAGTCGCTCAGGTAAAGTAATGTGAAGCAGACCTCCTAGAACTGGAGGCTTCTTTAATTTTAGAATTAGATTACTTTAGTCTTCTTCCACGTGCATAAGGGACCCTTTTGGTCATTTATAGATGCCCATTAACTTTCATGTAAATTGTATATTTATTTTCACGTAAAATATGTATAGAGTGCACACATGAAAAGTATCCATAAGATTGTACAATCATATACTAACGCACAAGAAAGTAAACCTCTACAGGTGACTGTCAGACTGCGCCCTCATTAACAGGAAATGGTGATGCGACAAAATCTTTTAGTTTTTTGTTGGTTTTTTTACACAGAGCACTGGTACCTTGAAGAAGCTGGTACTCAAGTGTCTTCATATTCCATGTAAAGATAAAATGAAATGTTAAGAAACGGAAGTCAAACTATCATCTCTGACCCTCCTTTCAAAATAATAAAATAACATACTGACAAAGTTGTATTCTTAAATCAAAATAGAATGGATATCTATTAACACCTTATTCATCAATATGTGTATGTGAGATGTGCTTTTTTTCATTTCATTACAAAGCAGTACAATTATTTTCATATTTTGTTTTTTGTTTTTTTTACCAAGCATTTAAAGGCGAGAGAAACAACATACGTGTAGTTTGAACAGGATATAGAGAATTTCACTGCTTTTTATTTTTGATAATATACTGTATGAATGATACTGAGTAAAAGATGTATAGCTGAATATCTCGAGGAAAACTAGGTTGATCTGAAGGTCTACTATTATTGAGTATCTTCCTTCGGGTACTCAACACCAACAGCTTTAACTGGTCAAATTCTGGAGCTTCGCTAAAACCTGTACCAAACTCTTTATTAACAGGGAGCAGAGAACGACAGGAAATGAGTAGAAACATTACAAATTTAAGTTATAATAAACTTTATAACTTAAGAGATTTTAGATGTTAATATTCATTCTGTGTTTTCCATGCATTTCCTTGTGCAGTGTAAACTTGAAATTTGCGTTTAACAGATGATAAGTGAATGTCAATGCAAATTCATAATTGTGAAGTTTATTCTCATAAAGTATAGTACAGTTCAATTCAGGCATTTTGTGTTATGCTTTTTACCATTTTCAGCACAGAACACACAAATAGAAATCCATCCGACTCCCAGTAAATTCACAGCAGTTAAAACAACAGGCAAGCCTGGTTTTGATTTGATCCAAAAGCACTTGGTGATTTTATGTTTTAATAATTTTAATTTCAGTGTTGGACTTGGGTTGTCTTTTTTTCCTCTTACTTCATCCACCAATATGTCTGTATTGCATAATGGCATAATGTTGTTGTTAAAATGAATGACTTGTTATGGATCTCCCAGATGGTCCAACCATGTTTTTTAAAAACAGGCCTTTTTCACAGCAGAGATTTCGATTTGTCACAGTAGGAAAAGCACGGGTATTACTAATAACATAAAAGAAATGGCACAGTGTCCCAGTAAGCCATGTTGACAGTTAGCCACCATGCACTATACTAGGACCCTAAAAACTGAAGCAGTTTAATTGAGCCATCATTCATTTTATTATTTACATGTGCTTTTCCTACTGTGACGTGTTAAAATGTCTTACGATGACAAAGATGTATTGTTTTATATCCCTGTCCATTGCACGGGACAGGAGCATATGTCTCAGTCTAAACAGATCAAGGGAGTAGTACAGTTCTCTAATAATGGTAAAAGCATGAATTGGTGAGTTAACTGCCTAGGTTGTATTTACCATTCAATTCAACTTTCTATGTTTCATTGTGTTGATTAAATGATCTAATGGCTAACTGGAGGAGTAAACCATAATTCATTGCTTCTGCCTGGTGTGACTTTAACCTAACTGGTTGACTCTTAAACAATAAGATATGACTGTAAATGGACAACACACTGAGAGCTCCACCTATTGGTGGGTTGAATGGATGTTTTATTGTATTCACAGCGGTACAGTATGTTATTGAGCCTGCAGAATCATCACAGAAAGAAAAGCAACCAGTGTTTTTCTTCCTCTCCTCCAACAGTTGCTGGGAAAAACACCTGACAAAAGGGCTCCAGTTATGTAATTGTTGTTGCTACTGGAAGCAAGTGTGGTCCAGTTATTCAAGACAACATGGAGAGTTAAAGTTTCATTCCCATCTTTAGCTGTATTGTGTTTCATTGCTAATTTGAAAGTTGAATTAAATGTCAGACTTAAAAAGATTTTCCTGAGGAACACTTTTTCATTCAGCAGGAACACATAAAGAAAGAAGTTAATGGTGTCCTGGCATTTTCTGACCACATGTTGTATCAAGCCTTTTGCCTTCCTCTCAGAATTTGATTTACTTGTTACTAATGCTCTGAAAATGGGAACAGGTTTTTGTTATTGATTTTCTTACATCCATCTTACTCTTTAGTAATTTATTTAATGGGTTTTCTTTTTGACAGATGGATCAATATTAAAAGAAGCAGATTACTACAGATGCGTGCAGCATTTTGAAACCATACCAGTCATTTGTTTCAGTTGGATATGTAATATTTTCTTTTGGGTCCCTTTGCAATGAAATATGAGGTTTGTGTTTGTGTGTTGGTTTGCTGCTTTCTCCAGGCAAACACTGACCAGGTTTCTCTGTAACATAGGGGTGAATTATCCACCATGCCAAACGCCCTCAACTGAAGTGAAATGATGTGTCATGGTGTGCTGTACTCTGATCAAATGAGCAAAAAGCATTGGTTGTTGACTCTTAAATCTTTGTTTCTTAGTGTACATGTTCTGTTAATGCTGTAGGTATCAAGGTTAATTGTACTGTATATACTGTAATTGCAATCTCTGATCTCATTTAATTCCTGTCTTCAAAGAGTGACACTGTAAACATTATTGATATATAGAAATGCAAACCTATTTTAATACTTGTAACTCCTGAAGACCTTCTGTTTTGTATGTACAGTTTAAATTAAAGCTATGCTGTAGTGCTGATATGTTTGGAATCAAGATCACTTGTTTGATGATTATTTTAATTGATTTTATTTTATTTTTTACTTGTTGATGCTCTGGGACTCAAATTAGACTGACTTCAGTGCACCAAGACCTTAATGATGATGTACTTAGATTTATTTGGTATTTAAATGGGACACCATCCAGCTTGATTTTATTTGCTGGAGAGTAAAACATTTCTATTACTTGCTCAAGTCACTTTAGTCATTGAGGCTATCAGAATGTCAATATTGCAACAAATATATATGGATTTTTTGTAAGCTACATAATATGAATGCCTAAGATTTAAAATTTTCATAGATGATGAGCTGAAGTTGTCCCTTGGAGATATCAAGAGTTCAAAGAGGATGATATCTGAAACATATGCAATACTACACTACTACATACTATATACTCAGTATGAAGTGGTCATAACAAGGATGGATAAGAAACAAAAACATCATGATCATATTCAAAGTATAGGCCTACATTTTACAACATACAAAATATATTACATTTGGTTCTCACTTAATATGAGTTCTGGGTAAGGGCATTCAAGTATTATATGCTAAAATATTATACGATAATGAACCCCTAATGTAGCACTGAGCACCTATAACACTGTTGGACTGTCAAAACCTGGTGCCTACATTACCCACAATGCTGCTTGACTGCTGACAAAGGCTATTTATTAAATCACACAGCTCTCACTGAAGTCACAAAAAGCTTCATGCAATTGATTTTGATGTGTAAAATTGTGATAAGGTCTATTCCAAACTTTTATCCCACGTTTTAGGATTTTGGGGTGCTATAGAAACATTTTGAGATTGAGGGCCCGAGACAAAATCTTGGTATTTAGGAGATCCATAAAATGTTTTGGGATCTTAACAAAAACGTTATGGTCTCTTTATCAGGTTTGTGTAACAGTGTTTTACAGTTAGTACTATTTTAAATGTCCAGTGTGTAACATTTAAGAGGATCTATTGGCAGAAATGGAATATAATATCCATAGGTACGTTTTCACTAGTTTATTATCACCTCAAAATAAGAATCGTTGTGTTTTCATTACCTTAGAATGAGCTGTTTTTATCTACAGAGGGAGCAGGTCGCCTTACATGTAGTCCGTCATGTTGAGCTGCCATGTAGTAGCCAAGAACGAATAAACAAAACACTGGCTCTAGAGAGGGTCATTCACGAGAGTTGTAATCTGCAACTACACCACTAGATGCCACTAAATCCTAAACACTGGTACTTAATATTTTAATACTTCATAATAATTAATAATAAAAAGTCGTATTGCCGTTTTCATTTTTTCCAGAGCCTGTTTTCCTTTAAGGAAAGAAAAATATGAATTACACAGTTTGGGGGGGGTGGTGGGGTGGCTCTCAGATCATAGGTCCCCAAAAAGCTTTTGTCCGGCACTGTTCAGCAATTAAAACATCAAAAATACTGCAAACTGTTCAGACTGATCAGTGAGTAATCTATTACTACAGACCCAGTAGCGAGCATTAAGTGTTTTTTGGTCAGGCTGGTGTGTCGCTTCCGTTAGGGTCGGGCTCTGAGTATATGCGGAACTCCCTGCAGACGGATGATGATGATGATGATGATGAAGAGGATGTTGTGAAGGCAGGTTGTAGCTGAGAGAGAGAGAGAGAGGCGGACACACACAATTCACATCATTTATCATGCTGCGGAACAGCAAGCCCCAAACCCAGCCGTCGTCTCCAATGCGGTGCTGTTATGTAAATGAAAAGGAGGTTTAATTCAGACTAACACCGCTGCCTTCCTCCCCGTGTGGGACCGAAGAGGAGGGCACCCACCACCCAGGGCCGTCATCAGCAGCTGGCTTCGTACTCAACGTTAGCGGCTAATCAGCTAACGTGAGCGAAGGTAAGGATGTTCTCACTTAAAACCCATCCACCACCGTGTGTATTGGGTATGTTACGAGCTGCTTCCTGGCGGCTTGGAGGGGGAGGGAGGGAGGGAGGAAGGGAGGAAGGAAGGGAGAGAAACCCTTCGTTACTATTTACGAGACCAGTCGGTCAAGCTACTGTTAGCTATCTGGCTAGCTAGCTAATCCATCCGTGGCGTAGGAAAGCATAAAGCTAGCAGTGAGTGGAGGTGAGAGGATGCACCGTGTGGGTGAACATGTAGGACGAGTCAAAGGCCTGACAGCCTGTCAATATATATATATATATATATATTAAATAAAAGATAACTCAGCTTTAAGCTTTACACTGCCAGCTCTCTCTCAACTCATCAGGAAGGCGTTGGCATCGTTTGTTACCGTGAATGTTATCCTCCTCTCAGCTTGTTAGGTAGTTTAAAAAATAAATAATATAAAGTAATAAATAGATAAATAAATCCAACCTAACGTTAAGTAACATTAGCTGATGTGGGGGATTGGTGCTAATGGTGTGTCACTGTCATTATGCCTGTGTTATCCCGTCTGCAGTTGTATTATCTTACACGATGTCAAACCGGTTTCCATTAGGAAAACACGACTGTGGAGATTAATTGTTAATTTAATGGGAAATGGACTGAATGACTGTGGCGTTGAGATGAATACAGAGGTTAGTTATGGATGTCAAGGTGAAGACAGATGTCATCCTGATGCTACATTGCCTAATGTGTAATCTGTATTACATCTAGCTGTGTGTGTTTATTTGTGTATAGGTGAAGTAACATTTGTGTAGTATTGTTTTTTTTTTTTTTTAATAATCAGGTTAAAAATATGTGGAAGGTCTATTTCTGGTTCAAAATACTAAGAATAGTGTAAGCAGCCGTAGATGTTACAGACTAGCTTCATAGTGTGACTCAAGATGTGTCAGCTTTATTGATCCTGAAGTAAGATTTGGATGTAAAGCCCAATAAAACAATGACAAATGGTTGCATACGACAAATACATAATCTAGTTTATACAGGAGTTTCTTAGCCATGATCTTTGGGATATTTTAAGACAATAGTGTTGGTATATTATATGTTCTTAAAACCAAGGTTTGCATGTCATCATTGCTGGGTGATGCTGTTGGGTAATACACATTGGTCTGAGCTGCCACTGTGTTACTCAAGAAGAAGTAAAAGCTTACCAAACTCAATTTGATGTGACAGTTTCCGTGATGGCACATGACCCAGATGCGAACTGTCACCACACCACCGCACCCAACTACCACTGTTACTACACAAGCGAAAAAAGTAAACATTTAGGAACGAATGCAAATGAACGCACACAGTTATTTTACTACTGACAAGGAGACACCAGAACACTGTAGGTGCTTTAGTTATGTGACGTTTGAGCCCAAGAATATGGATCACAGGCCGGAGAAAGCCTACAAACCTGGCCTTGCACCAAGTGCCTTTTTTAAAGATTTTCTTAGGAATTAATATATAAATATAAAGGAGAGCGTTGTATTTTGTGAGTCAAGGCCCTCAGAGTTCCAACTAGCCTTTAGTGAGAAAAGACTAACCTAAAAGGGACAATGCAGTAACCGAAATTTCCCAGTCGACACTTCAGCCCTCTCTTGTGTGTGTGTGTGTGTCCTTGCTTAACTAAAACTACTTCAACAGATTCTTTTGCGTTGCTAGTTACTGCTGTTCGTTGTGACTGGCAGGAAATGCTGTCCATGTTGGAGGCCTGTGAATCATATCCATCTCCACTCTGCGCTTATATAAGCAGTGAGTGCTGCCTGCAGACCACTCTGATCAGATTCATCTGTTGTGTTAACCTACATCATTAGCTTGCCTTTGAAGATTACACAGTATTATGGTGATTCTTTTATCTCTTCTCTTTTTAGAGAGACAAACACGGTTCAATACGATGCTCACTCATTACATACACTCAGTGAAGTGGCGTAGTCCTTCCGTCGTTATCTAAAAATAATGCTGTGGTCCTGTATCTTTGTGCTGGATGAGTCTGCTTCTAGCTCTGCTGCTTCATAAAATAGCCATTTTGGCTTGGCACCAGGAAGCATTCATGTTGCCAGACCTGCACATTGATTCATTTTCCTGATGGCTTTGTAAGATAAATAGGGTTAGATCTGTATTCTGCATAGGCCTAGCCCTTACTGTTGGAATAATTTCCTTTCTGTAATCAGCCATTGCTGTGAGGAAGGTTCAAGTTGTTACCACTCTCCAACATGCTCAGAGTTGTGCAGTGTAAGTAGAAATAGCTAGAATTAAAAACTCTTTAAAATGGAGTGTCTCAACATGAGGTTATATTCTTAACAGCCTCTCAGCAGATACAGTTATTAATGTTAAGTGACAATTACTTCGGTCTTCTTGTTCAGTGACATGCAAAAGCAAGTAGGAGACTGTCAGACTTGCGTATTATTTGAATAATTTTACTAAATGTGATGAGTGCTGACATTAAGCTGACTCAACAAGACGTGTTTCAGCCCACTTTGTAGTGCTGTTTGAACCGTGTCTTCTTATGGCAGCGCACACATAAAAATACTGGTGCATTGGACAGTGTTAACACTGTCTTAACACTGTCAAGTGTAGAGCAGCTTATTTTCTTTGCAAACATGAAAAACATAATAGGAGTAACTAAAGTGGCTACGTTTTGATACTAATCTATCAGTGACAATGGTGTAAGGCAAGCATTCTGTATTACGGATCTATTCAGTAATGAATCAGACATTTTACCATTTTACCATTGTGCTACATCAAGATGTCCCTCTGTGAATAGCTCCTCTACTCACAATTGGTGCTATTAGACATAATTAGACCCACAGTGCACCTGAAGCCTTCTGTGATAAAGTCACCCTTAATGCCCGCTGGATGCAGCTGCGTCACACGCTAGCTGTGCTGTGTCTGCTGGGGTTAATGACAGCCTTTGTCAGGATGTGTGACTGTAGTGTTCCACTCATGACTTACATGCAGTCTATTTGTCTGCCCTGTTATCTTTGTATGCCTGGTCTGATCTAAGTTCATTTGTAATTTATTTGCAATTGATATAAATTCATACTTCAAATTAATACTTCAATCATGAATTTCATATGTTAATCACATTAAATACATTGGTTTTAATGTCCATGTAGCCAACCTATGTTTACAGTTGAAGCTATTGAGATAGAAACATATTTACAAGTCAGTAACTTGCAGCTGAACTCCAAAAACCATGAAAAATGAAGAAAATGACACAAAGTCTCAGCTGCTTTAAGATACTGCCTCTGAAATGCGTCCAGTGGACATTGACACTGTTGTGGAAACATGATGCTGCAACTGGACAATGACGCAACCATGTCGGATCGACCTTCCCTCAAAATGCTCATATAACAGCACTGAAACAGGACAATTTGCACAAAATGTGCACAAATTCATCATTTCCAATTTTGTATATTTATTACACTTGTTTTCATGTTTAATTAACAACCTATAAATCTTTCTATTTAATTGTCTGCGGCTTCTTGAATTGAATAAATTCACAAACAAGTAAATCAAATTAAGCTTGCCACTGCAGACCTCTGTCTGATTATTGAAAATAGTAAGAGTTAATAATACATTTTTTCCTCAACCTGGATCTGCTCTGCTATCTCTTAGCTCTTCTAATTTAAACCTGTGACACATTTTCTATTAGTTTCCCCCCCGAGGTTACTCATTGCTTTTTCAAATTGAATGTATGGAATGTAGTACGCATGAACCACTGGCTCAATTATAGATCCATTAGCTTATCAGTGCAGGGATAACAGCCTTTAAGAGACAGTGTGTTTGCGTTTCTGGGTGGAGTTTCTCATTTGTTGGTGCTAGAGTAAAGGCTGTTTGCAATGGCATGACACTCTACTCTAGATCTGTCATGCTGTATGTTTTCACCAGACATGTAATAAAGTTGTGGGCTTGTCCTGTCAGATATGTCTGCTTTTTTTTTTTTTTTTATTGTCCTTGCTCCTCAATGTGATTGGTAGTATAATATATGAAGTATCATATAATTATATATATGTGTGTGTGTGGTTTTCAACAGGCATCAGGGGTAGCAGTCAGTTTTTTAGGTGTTCGATATAAACAGTATGGGCTTCTTTGTAGAGCCGCCATTTTGTAACAACGTTTAACATTCATGCTGGGAGAAATCTGTTGTGGAAGAGACAGAGATACCAAGTTCTCATCTGACTGTAGTCTTCACTGCAGTCACAAGCTGTTCTTTGAAATGAAAATCATCTCTTTAGATGCTGTTTGTGTAGCTGTAGGTGAGAAACACAATGCTATTAATAGGAGTTAACTAAGAGACATGGATGTTAAAGAATTGAATTGAATTTGATCCTAACCTCTGGTTACACAAGGAGGTGTGCGTGTGGCCAGTTCCTAATGTCTATCAGTAATGTGTCAGATTATTGCAGTATTTGTAATCAATATCTGTGGGAATGTGGAAATAAATTCTGTTTCTGCAAATAGTTTTAAACAAAAGTCTTAAGAGATGAGCCTAGCATAATCCCTAACCTCTCCTGGTTTGGTTTTCTTTGTTTTTAAATTGAGTGGTTTATGCATTCTCATCTTACCTTTACAGCAGTACACCCAGAACACTGTTCATTTGAAAGGATTAAGCACCAGTACTGTTTGTGTAGCTTTGTTTGTATTAAGCACTGCCTGCTCACTTGTCACCATGTCCTCTCTCCAAAGCAGCAGAAATATTTTGAAGTTGTAATGTTGTCAGAGAATAGCTGTTCAGTCGTACATATGTACTTTATGTTGCCATATAAGACATTTTCATCCTTCTGTGTCCGAATTTGAAGATTACAGGATCTTGAGACGATGCTAGACTGGAGCTGTAAACAGCTCAATGGTAGGGAATAGCCATCTGTAGAGGTGCTGGTTGAGCACCTGTCAGTCACAAAGCTGTAAGGGCCATAGTGCAAGCTACGAAGGGTGCTTATACCACCAAGGTCCCTAAGCTGCTTACTATATCAGCAGGACTCCACTGGAAAGTCTTTATCCCCCAACAAAAACAACCAGCTGACATAATCATCATAACAGAAAAATCAACCCAACACTTTGAAAGCTTTATAGGAATGTAACATGCATTTTTGAGTCCACTTTTTTTTTTAGAAGGACGCTTTTATTACCTTTTTAATTTTTAGGAAAATGTTGGCAACACTCTTTAACACTGGAGATGCTGATGTAGGCTTGTCATGTCTGACATCTTGTATGCTCCTCCAGCTTTGTCTTATTGTCTGCCATGTACCCTGCCTGGTAGAGATGATCACACTCTAAAATGGGAATTTGTAAGATCAACATGGCGTCTTTGTGAATGTCTTTCATTTCCTGGTGATGTAAAATGTAGATGTGACATTGTAGTGACATTTCCAGCAGAGCGACAATGCTGTTTGATAGCACGAAAACATATTATTAGATCCAGATTCAGATTGCATCTTTGCTGATCTGTCAGCCGCTTCCTTGATGAGTTATCTGTTACATGTTTGAACAACCAGGGACAGAACAACACAATCATTAATCTGAAAAAGCTTAGTAGATCTCATGCCTCTCCTAATGTACCTGTATGTGAACCACCACTTGTTATGTGGGGATGAAAGGTTTCTTATTAAAAGTAGTTAATGCTGACTGAAGTAGTAGATGAGACAGGTACAGGGGAAAGTGGACACAGCTGAAAACTTGCATAGACTGCAAAACTTCTTTAAAGGCCTTGACATTTAAAAAAAAGTCAAAGACTATAACTCGTGCTACCATATTTACCCCAAAACTCTGAAATATCATGTGGCTGGTTGGTGTTATGCACTCGTAGTGGACCTGATTTCTTCATAATGTGTCCACATTGTTTCTCATTGGTTTACACTCATGTGCAGTGCTGGGCGATATACTGGATGAACCAGTATACTGGTTTTGATTTCCTGTATGATAGGAATTTTTCATATACCACCATACCAGTGTATAGCTGAAACAGACAGCTTGTTTCTTGTGCAACAGAACAGTTGAGAAATATCTCTTTGAATACTTAAATACTTTCAGTATTCAGTATATGAGGTCATTTTATAGTGTTTATGTACAACTATTTTAAAATGCACACAATGCACAATAAAAATAAATCACATTCTGATTCCTTCATATATTGAAGTGTTTTGTGGGGTCGAGAAAACCCTATAATAATCAAAACCGTCAGTATATGTCATGCAGAAACTGCCAGAATCTTAAGAAGTACTGTGGAAATTGTTTATATCATGGTGTCCATAGAACCACAAAACATAAAATGATATTTGTTCATCTTTTTCTTGTTTTACAGATTTGACTCATCTTTTGAACCGTCACAATGATAATCAAGGAGCTGTGTCTCAACTTTACACCTGAACCTTCCCAGTTGTGATGGAAAGGCCCCGCTGACTCAATACGCAACTTAAATCCTGGATGCTGTGACACACAGGACGTGGTCAATCCAAGATGGAGAAAAAGAAACCGTGCCCCCGCCTTCTCGACTACCTGGTGGTGGTCGGAGCAAGGTAAGAACTTAATCTGACTAAGAAGTAGTTTTAGTTCAAAGGAATATCTTAGGTTCTAAGGGAGGCTGTAAATATTGCTTTGAAAACTGAAGTGTAGTGATGCCAATTGAGGAAATATCTATAGTCTAAATCTTGGAATGGTATCTTCTAAACTGATTAACAACATTTCATTTTCTTAACAGCCATTTTGGCCCTGTTGGACCAACAGTTGTACCACAAATCGCCAAAACCCCTTTATTTCAATGACAACATTCATTGCAGCCGTAGGGAGTGTTGTTGCAGAGGTTCGAGCAGAAAATTGCAGGGTAGTCTTGCATAAAATACATGCGTCCCAGCTCTGCTTTTGCCACAGCACAAGGCAACGTCATCACTCACAATCGCAACATCAAACACCGTATTTAAAACCAAACACAACATTCTCCCACATGATGTAGCATGTATAATGAAGCATAGTAGCACATTGTTTCAAGAACTGTAGCCACAGGGGAAAAGGATGATTCACATGAACACAGTGAAATTGGAGAAAGGTCCTGTCTGCCACTGCTTTTAGTGTTAGCCACTGAGTATTTCTACTGGGACATTTAGGGATTTAAGTGTTAGGCTTAAGGGCAATTTCAGAGTTGTTGTGGGATAGGATGGTTTTTGTTTACCTCCCCTCACCAGTTTTTTCTTGGATTCTTGGCTAAACATAGAAACATAGAAATTTGCATCTGTAACCACCGGACTACTGTTGGTGCTTTGTCAGCCGTTGGGTTGTGCTATCAAGTATCCAAAGGCTTTGATTCCTCCTTTTATGAAATGCTCCTCTCATCACTTAATGACCCTTTCAAATTAAATTCAAAACTGAGTTTGTACATAAATGGAAATGGATCGCAGAGTTGTAAAATGGACAGAGAAAAGAGTTATAAAACCAGATAGGACTAATTTACGTTTATGCTTTAAACAAATCTTTGTCTGTGTTCTGTCCAGGCAACCAAGTAGTGACAGTGTGGCCCAGACACCTCAGCTCCTCCGCCGATACCCGCTGGAGGACCACCATGACTTCCCGCTCCCACCAGATGTGGTGTTTTTCTGCCAACCAGAGGGATGCCTAAGTATACGCCAGCGAAGGGTTAGCCTTCGTGACGACTCCTCGTTTGTTTTCACGCTGACCGACAAGGACTCAGGAATCACCCGCTACGGAATCTGTGTCAACTTCTACCGTTCTTTCCAACGGGGACATCACCGTACTCGAGTGGACAAGAGCGGCCACACGGACGCCGCATCACAGGCGGCGGAGACCGCTAGTGAAGGGTCCGATGGCAGCGGCGGAGGCCCACCCTCCACGTTATCTCCACCTAACACTGCTGAGTCAGCACCTCCGTCTGCCTCCGGAGAAGAGAGCGGACAACCAAGTGCCGAGCTAAATGCCGGCAAGTCCCCACAGCACAGACGAAGCGCTGCAAAGATGGCAGCCAGGAATCGCAACAGCACGCTGACCTCGCTGTGCATACTCAGTCACTACCCCTTCTTCTCCACCTTTAGGGAATGCTTATATATTCTCAAGAGGCTGGTGGACTGCTGCAGTCAGAGGCTCACTCAACGAGCTGGGCTCCCTCGCGCCACGCAGAGGTGAGGCTTAAGATTGCATCTTCAAGTGTACATGCAGCTTTTCTTTGTTTCTTTGCTGTGCTACTACCGTTTCACCCCAGTGGGAATGAAGACAAACATACTATTTTAGAGGCACATAGCTAATGTGGTTTGAAGGGGCTGCTAAAGTTCACAGGGCCAATATCAGAGCAAACACAAAATCTGGTTGATTGCTATGAAACTGCTGAGCACATTCATGCTTGCCAAATGATGAACACTTCTTTTGTCATGGCCTTTTCTGTTGTGTCACCCTTAGGCCAAATGTCAGCTCTGATCACAAGATATCATACTTTAACAGGCAGATTGCCATAAACTCTTCTGAGTACATTCATATTACCAAAGGGATAAAACCATCGATTTTAATGAACTCATGGATGCCTTCAATTTTTAGTCCCTCAACTTGGTCAGAAACAGCAACGTTCATGCCTTCCAAAATGATTCCATCTTGTAATGTAACTAACTTCACACCCTCGAGGTAGAGCCTTACCTTTGAGACAGATGCTGATTTTAGTGGGGAAAAATGACCAAGATGGTATATTTTATTTTTCAGTTGGAATGAAAATAGACATGTAGACAAAAGATGCACAATAAGGTACTCAGAAGGCTGCTTTCTTAAACAACTCTGTTAAAGAACATTTGAGTTAAATATCTTAAAACATGGTAAATAATTTAACTCTAGAGTTAAATACAGGAAGTAAAGAATAAATAAATGGCTGAACCACTATAAGTCTGGTTTGAAAGCATTTGGCTCATAGTTAATGTGTACATGTGCACCTATAAATTCCTTAAAAAGAATTAATAACACTGCTTAAAAATGCAAGAAAAGTAGGTAAGAACAGGTCATGCATTATAATAATAGTAATAATTTATTTATTTGTAACCTGTCTTCTTCATCGTCATCAGGTTGAATATCATCAGTGCATTCATGTTGACATGACATAGTAAAAATATGTTGTTTATTTGCTGATGTTTTTGGCAATGTCTACTGCCCCCCCCCCCAACCCATCTGCTTCCCTCATTGTCCACCTGTTTTGTGTATGTTTGTGTTGCAGAATTAACACAAGAGCCTTTGTCTGTTTTTTCAGGCCATCTGCAGCTTGTGTCATGTTTTCACAGTACGCTTTATGCTATCACACTCCACCTTAATGATAAATAATGGCAACCAAAATATCCACAGAGCATTTAAAAGGTTTTGCTTTGAATGATTTGTATTACAGCAAATATTATTACATCCAGTGTTAGAGGTTCAACTGAGGTATGAAGAAATGTTATATAATTGTGTGTTGTATTGCATTGTGTATTGAAGTCATGTCTTAGACACGTGACCAGAAATGTTGGTGAGAGTTTAGTTGGAGACACCAAGATTTTATTCAAGATTCAAGATTCAAGATTCAATACTTTATTGCCATACAACTCGATGCAAGTTGCTAGGGATTTGCTTCAGTGTGCTCAGGACATCAACAAAGACACAGAACATATAGATACATATACAACACAAGGCCACAGAACATGTAAGTAAGATACTTGATACTTGAGCTGCTTTTTAGTTGTGCGCCATCCATTCTATAAAAAAAGTTTTAACCATAAACCAGAAAATAAAACCAGAACTCTGCAGGAGCTGCATGGTATACAGACAGCATTATGGAGAAGTGTAGCAGGGTATTTTGCTTTTTAGACTTGAAGAAAATAGTCGATAATACTGTATGTTGATTATTCTTTATCAACCACCAGTCGTTATTGATTCATATTTTATTGAAGCTGCAGAAAATACCCACAGCTGTTTGCTGTATTATTTAGTGACATTGTGTTGTGATGTGGCATTATTTGCCAAGCTCTTTTGGTTCTCCTGTTGCCATGGGTGATACAATAGATTGCAATTTTGGAGTGACAAAGTGTTAATGAGGCTGTCACTTCACGCTGGCTTAGGCCCAGTATGATTGCTGGTCACCCAAGGTACACGTGTTTTCTCCACAGTCATCTATATATAGCTGTAGAACCAGTGCAGCTTTTCCCCTCATCACCTCAAGGGACCATAGGAATGTGTAATGCACAGTTAATATCATACCTTAACATTTATTTTCTCTGGTAAAACGCTGCAGCGGATCCACATATCATCAGTATAGAATTGTGGTTTCTCTGACAACCTCGAAAAGGCCATCCGAGCCAACGGCTCAACAGACCTGAGATGGTTGGTTGAAATGTGGTGTGGCAATGACAGAGAAGGAGGAGAGCCATTGCATAATGGCTGCGAGCGCTTTGTACTATGGCGGCGCTGACAGATTGAGGTCTCTGGCTGCCTTTGGGTAGCAGCTGCAGTTGGTGGGAGGGCTCCATAGGACTAATGATTTATCTCCCTCCTTCTACACACACACACACACACACACACACACACACACACACACACACACACACACAGAGTACACACTCTAGAAAGGGTTTAATGGCACCATGTGTGAGTAGAGTGGAGTTTTCACATCAATATTTCGCCAATTGCTTAAGAGCCTCTCCTGCATTTCCAATCTAATTAGGGCCGTCTCATTTGCTCATCATGATAGTGATTTCACTGGGTGTTTGCTGAGGCCTTGTGGTAGCTGTTTGTAGCAATAAATTCAGCAAATTATTTAGTTTAATCGTTTTCTAACTCTGTTGACTAAAATCGATACATGTTATTTGTTAAGCTTAACATATTTTACATGTCGGTGAAACACTTTTGATTATATCAGTGCTAAGAAGAAGAAAAAGATCATGCTGTTGCAGTGTTTTGTTTGAGACAGCTTAAGCTTGAGACACCATCAGTTCCAGTAAGGCATTTTAAGAGTGGCTTCTGCTTTAATATTTATACCTGTGGGTTTTTCTGGTTTAGTTTAGTTCTTTGGGGAGATGAGTGGCAGTATGATAAAGCCAAAGTATGTTATTCTTCCTTTGTTGCATGCTGCTTCAGCTAGCACTAAAACAATTAGTCTTTGGGTATTTAAAGGTGGGGTCAGACATTCTAGAGAAAGATAGTTGAGTCTTATTCCAAGGCCGTCCAATTAAATTTCATATATTTTGTTTTTGACTGCTGGTTGGACAAAGGAAGACATTTTAAAGAGTCATATTGTCATAGGATGTCTTCAAATTGCTTCTGGATGTCATTATGTTGGACAATTGGTTGGAAAAAAACAGAAAAATAAGCAATTTGTAGACCTCACACTGGGGCGTTTTTTACTATCTATTTTATAGATCCAGAATTATTAAAAAAAGGAATAAATTAATGTAAAGAAAATCCTCATGTATACAATGAGTTCTGAACATGCACTCGGTTTGTCTCCTTCCCAGGGACACCATGTGGCGGGTGTTCACGGGAGCACTGTCGGTGGAAGAGAAAGGAAGCCAGCTGCTGGCCGACCTACGGGAGATCGAATCCTGGGTGTACCGGTTGCTGCGTTCACCGGTACCAGTGGCGGGTCAGAGGCGTGTAGATGTGGAAGTGCTGCCCCATGAACTCAAACGGCCACTCACCTTTGCCCTGCCTGACAACTCTCGCTTCTCCATGGTCGACTTCCCACTGCACCTGCCCTTAGAGCTGCTGGGTGTAGACGCCTGTCTTCAGGTCCTCAGCTGTGTCCTGCTAGAGCACAAGGTAAGGAGAGAGAGAGACAGCAGTGAGTTCAGGATGCAAACTGTCTCTTATAAGTCATCACATGGGCCTGTTTCTTTTTTTTCCTTTTTTATTTTAAAAAACAGGAGCAGATGTGTGGTTGTCTTGGACTGCATTTTATTAGAGTCAACGTGTAATAACAAGCAAGGCTATATTTAGTATGTTGTGATTGGCCAGAGGTTTCTTTTGGAGTGTAGCTGTGTGTCCCTGCATGGACAAAGAACTTTTTTTTAAAGGTCTCCTGAGAAATGCCCCGACTGACCTTCATCAGACATTTTCTGTTAGACTTAGGCTCACTGAAGCCATTTTACTGCAGTGTGGACAAAGCATGATGGGTAAAAAGAAGGCCATGTACATCGTATCACTGAAAGGAAAAACTCTTCATCTCTCTCTTCTATCATTAACACTAGAAGCATTAGTAGGGATGTAATAGAAGTCCTTGTTTGGCTGGTGCTGGTGTAGTGTTCTGTTGTTGCTCTTGGTTTACACTGACATTGATACACTGGTTCATTTGCAGCCACCCTGAATCAAACCTAAGCTTCACAGCTTCCGTCACACTGCTGCAGCACATACTGCTGGACAAATGTTGGGCAGTATCTGCTTTTCTGTCACTTACTGTTTCTCAAATATAGAATTTATCTGGGCCAACTGCCTGAATAGATGTTTTTCCACCCAAAAATATTAAGCTTGAAATGCAGAATGCTGCATCCATGATGCATGATTAGTTAGCGTTGTTTGCAGCCTTCCACCCTTCTCCTCCTCGGGGTCGACCACCTCTAAGACCTTCTCAGCCTGAAACGCTGCCATCTTGTATTCATCCATTTTGGTTTTTTGAATAAGAATTCAATACATCATTAAATTCAGTCAGGCTGAACTAAGTGCTGCCTGAAAGCTTTCAGAGTTGTTTCCTTTCAAGGACTTTGTGCTACCAAATGAATTTTTCATAACGGTTCAATTTTAATATTGTGGTTATGAATCCAAGGCACAGTTTGGACCTTCAAACCTGTACATTACAGACAAAAAGAGAAAGTATGGGTAGATGGGAGGATTGTGTGATACAGCACCAGAGCAAGAAGTCAACCAGGTGACTTTGTGACAGTATGAACATAACAGGGCTGTGAACACCCACAAAGTTTGGACTGAAATACTCAGGAAAATAAGTTTGTAATGCTTGCCTTATAAAACCCATGTATGTTGTGTTTTTTATTTTTTTTCTCAGGTCATTCTTCAATCCAGAGATTACAATGCATTGTCTATGAGTGTCATGGCCTTTGTCGCCATGATCTACCCTCTGGAGTACATGTTTCCTGTCATCCCCTTACTGCCAACATGCATGGCCTCTGCCGAACAGGTAAAACTTGCCATTTGTTTTAAACACAACAATATTTTACCCAAACATGCAGGTTTTAAATGCAAATGCTGTTTGTTGTGGACATATCAAGTTGCGACTGACTGGCATATTTTCTCCTCCCCAAAGCTCCTTCTTGCCCCCACTCCCTACATTATAGGTGTACCAGCCAGCTTCTTCCTCTACAAAGCGGATTTCAAAATGCCAGATGATCTGTGGCTTGTGGACCTTGACAGCAGCAAGGTCAGCACATCAACGTGGTGTCTTAATGATGTTTCTATAACATCCAGATTAACTTGACGGATAAAATCTAATTCATCTTAGTTGAACACCTTTTTTTTTTTCATATCTAAATTTAAATTGTTGTCTGCAGGTTATAGCACCCACCAATGCAGAGATTCTACCACCTCTTCCAGAACCTGAAGCAGGCGAGCTTAAGAAACATCTGAAACAGGTACTGCATGCAATTTGTCTGGTTCCCTTTTACATTTTACATTTTACAAGTTTTTCTGAATCTGCTGCACTGTGAAAGCCAGTGCTCAGCCCAAAACCAGTGGGACTACTGACACATACAAACATTTCGCAGAGAAATTTCTGGAATCCAGGTGCTGCTCTGGAGCCCACCTTTGTTGTGTGTTCTTGTAACTTTTAGTTAAATGCAATCATATGAATGTAAAACTTCTCTTTCAGCAGTGTAAGGAGTAGGTGCTTCCTTCTTCAACAGAGTTGTATGTATTGTAGACGGGTGTGAGCGCATTTGAAATGGGTTTTGTAGTGCACTAACATGAACAAATGTTTTTCTTTTTTTCCTGTTTTCTTTGCATGCTCTAGCTCTTGGAGGTAAAATCAGACCCTAGGACCCTGCTACCTAAGCAAAACCTTTAGTAATGCTGGTAGTAACTAACTTGCCCCCCTAACCCAATTATCTAACATAACAGCAGAATCTGGTTCTGATTCATGGAAAAGCCTTGCAACACCATTAACATAGCACACAAAGGCCCTTCTTCGCAAATATGGAAACTGCTGATATGATCCCTGAGTGTGCTTATTACGTTCATCATGTCTCTACTTTCAGCCATCATTTGCAGTAAGAAGTTAATCACAGTCCTTTTATGTTTACCAGGTATAGTAAGGCTCACATATGGCATTATTATAATAATTATCTACATTTTTCTTCAGTATAAAATGAGATCAACATACTAACATGACCTAAAACATTAAAATGAAGTCAAATATTGCTTTTAATAAAAATAATGTAGGTGTTGCAGATGAATACTAAGGATTTTTTTTTCAGTCAAGCAAGCTCAAAGCTTCACAATCTATGAAGTAATTAAATGCACTAAAGCTGTTTTATGTTCCAAGTAGAACTTTTTATTTTACTGTCTCGTTGAATACAGCCAACTCAAACTTGACTCAAACTTGAACTTGCTTAATGGTTTTGATACTAATTAAAACAAACAGTTATTAGATTAAAATCCTTGCACACATACTCATTTTGTTTAATATGCCTTGAATCAGAACCGGTTCGTTAGCTCTGTGTGATTTTCAGCTCTCTCCCTGTGTGCGGATGTGTGACCGAGAGGCTGGTGTGTAGGAGTGTGCAAAGCCTCAGATTAGCAGTTGTGTATTTGGAGAGAAAAAAAACACAAAATACTGACATCTGTGAATGGAGAAAATGTCACTGAAGATGGTTGAACTGATTATCTGAAGACTGTGATGCCAAAGCAGAATGCTGCTGATGTGAGAGTCACTGAAAAATACTTGCACTTAACACTGGATAACTAAAATAAATTGGTCCCTAACAAGCGGCTAATTTATTTACAAAAAATGGTGCTTGTGTTATTTCTCCTTACCCGCCTTTTTTTTTTTTTTTTTAAAGAACAATAAGAACTCACAAGTAAGATTTTAAATTTAGCTACAGGTGCTTTATTGTGCAAGTATTTTATCTGTGTTTATGAAAAGATCTGCTGTGTTGTGTCTGTCATTGTCATCGGTCTCCATTGTGACCACTGGTTTGTCCCAGTTGGTCACCATGGATGGCCTTCATGTGTCTTTTAGTGGCTGGATTCTGTAGGTGAAGTCTGGTTTTTGGTCACATTATTGCTTTGTCTGTGTTTTTCACTGTCTTTCATGTTAGGCATAAAAAAACATCTCTTCTTTCCCCATATTCCTCTTTCTCCTCTGGTCTTGTTTCCTCAGAATTTCTGTCTTCACTCTCACTCAGTCTTGCAAATTCTCTCTCTATTAAACTCTACTGGCCGTCCATCACCTTGTCAAAACGAACACAAATGTATCTTTTCTTATCTCCTTTCTTCAGTAAATTATAAAATTGAAAATGATGAAGCGGCAAGACACCTCTTTCTCATTGCGAAAATAACATCAGCATATTTAGTTAGATCTATTTGAGTCACATTTGGGTGGTGTCAAAATATACTTTATTCACTGTCAGCTAAAATAGACAAATAGGGAAGTACTGTCGAAAGGAGGCAAAGAAAAGAAAGGGAAAGGGCCACGGTGGTGACCCTTCCGTCATGTGCTGTTCCAGTGTCAGTCACAAAGTTATCATCCCAGGCCTTCATGTGATTCTCCTCGCATCTCTCTTATCCCCTTCCTAGTGTCTGGTTAGGTTGACCGTGATCACCCAAAAGCAGATCTTCTCCTCTGAAAATAAGGTTACTCATTTCTCCTCCTGTGGAATGTGTAATGCCCCTGCACGGATATCTTCTCTCTCACATTATTTTGCTTGTCACTACTACTTGTCTCCTACTCTCCAAGACTTGAATAAAATGCATAACAGGGTCACAGAATGTTGCGGACCAGTTTTTGATACACTGCTTAGCTCTGGCTTGAGCATGACTGAATGTGCGTGCATCTATCTTGGCATCAGTGAGTGTTCTCGTAACCAAAACAAGATATGATGAGGCTAATCACCTTGACAAAGTTAACATTCATCCAGACCCAGCAACTAAATGTTCCATTATGCTAAGCTAAACATTGACACTTGAGTCTGCAGCAGTTCCCTCAAAGCAAACCATGCATAGTGACTTACTTCCCTTGTGCCCCTCCTCTCCAAAGTGACACACCCACCACAGGCATCAACATGCACAAAACTGATCCTTCAGCTGCTATTAATAATGAGAGTGAAATAAAATTGTGAACACTTTAAAGATGGGGGAAAACCTGGATTGGGAACCTATAGTTTATCACCTCTTACCTCCCTTTAGCACACTACTGAGCATGCTTGGTAGTAAGAAGGATCTATTTTTATCAGTTTTAGCAATCTGAATCATCCCATAAAATTTTTGCAAGATTTTGCAAGTACCCTTTCAAGCAGTCACTCTGGCCCTAATTGTTTCCCCTCTATAGAGAGGGCAAACATTTAGAAAAGGTCCCATTAAATATAGAAATTGATTTTAATAACTAAATGTTGATGCCAATCGTGGGAGTGGTCCATCACAGCGCTGTGTTTTTGTGTTCAGATCCACTGCTGTGTTTCTAATTTGTGTCACTGTCACTTGTTCTAGGCCTTGGCCAGTATGAGTTTGAACACCCAACCCATTCTGAACCTGGAGAAGTTCCAGGAAGGTCAGGAGATGCCCCTGCTCCCACCTGGGCGAGACAAAGCTTCGCCGTCCTCCACAGAGTTCAACCCTTTAATTTACGGCAATGACGTTGATTCTGTGGATGTAGCCACCAGGTAAGCCACCAGTGTCTCTTTTCATTGTCCATTGTTTTTACTCCACTATATATTGTACAGTCCTAATTATATTGTAAATATTTATTTTACAGATCAAAAGAAATATTAAGTTTAACTTATTGTTCTGCTTTACAGGGTCGCCATGGTACGGTTCTTCAACTCCCCCAATGTTCTCCAAGGGTTCCAGATGCACACTCGCACCTTGCGCCTCTTCCCCCGGCCTGTGGTGGCTTTCCAGTCAACTTCTTTTCTTGCATCCCGGCCACGACGCACTAGCTTTGCAGATAAACTTTCTCACACCCAGGCAGTGGAGTTCTATGGAGAGTGGGCTCTCAATCCTACCAACCTTGCCTTTCAGAGGATACATAACAGTAAGACTCATTTAAGATGAAAGTAATCTGTATCTCGTTCAGTTTGCATTACAGAAAATATGTTAAAGTAAGTGAAGTGTGTCTGATGGTGTCTGCACACTTCTGTTTCAGATGTGTTTGACCCCTCCCTAATTGGAGACAAGCCCAAGTGGTATGCTCACCAGCTACAGCCAGTGCTCTACCGAGTGTATGATGGAAGCTCCCAGCTGGTTGAAGCGATGGCCGGTCCCTTGGAGGATGAGGGCAATGAGTCTGACCCCACAGACAGGTAAGAAAGAACAAGATCCTTTGAAGCGTAACACTACAATTAAATCTGCTAGTATTTGCTTTAGGTCGTTTAAATAAGGCAGCTCTTGGTTATACGTTGTATTTGTTGCAGTGGTAGTGATAGTGAGGCATACGATGACTCCAGTTCGTCCTATTCCTCACTCGGCGACCTTGTGAGTGAGATGATCCAAGGTGACATCCAGGGAGATACACCAAGTAAGTTGTTTCATTACAAGATACGCATTGACCACATTCATGCCATTTTCTCTCTTGTAATATTTTACCTTGATGTCTTAGGCTTGGACCCGCCTACCCATGCTGCACTGGGAGATGCTAGTGAGGTTGAGTTTCAAGACTTTGAGGACTTTAGGGAACGTCATGGCTCGGAGGGTCCACCCAGTGGGGACGGTCCCACCGAACCCTCTGATGGCCAACCTCTTCGCTCGAGCTCCAGCACAACTGCAAGCTCAAGTCCCAGCACAGTCATCCAGGGAGTCAATCATGTGTGTGATCATTCCAAATTCACTCTCGGAAACGTCTTTTTTTTGTAGAAAGTAACTTCTCATATTTTGATGACTAATTTGGACGGGGCTTTTTATTATGTTCTTCTAGATAAAACTTTTAACATGAGCTGTAGACTTGTCAGTGTCATATTTATCAGAATAATGAATATGGCCAAACTAAAGCAGTGCAGAACTGATATAATCTGTATGTGAAATGTAAAATAAAGGAAAGGAGAGCAATATTTACACAAGGAGGAATTTTCTCAATTCCCATTAATCTGTGTGCTCATTTTTCCAGGAGCAAGGGGACGCACCTGAAATTGAAGCATCAGCAAGTGCCGCTTTACAGAACCCTGTCCCTGCATTGGGCAGTCAGCCATTCCTCAGACCTCCAGCTGATGCTGGCCTGGTGGACCCAACCAACAAAAAGCAAGAGTATGATAACCCATACTTTGAGCCTCAGTACGGCTTCCCCTCAGAGGATGACCCTGATGCAGAAGAGCAAGTGGAGTCATACACCCCTCGATTCAACCAGAACCTCAATGGCAACAAGTGTGTTAAACTTGTTCATCACTTGAATGACTACATTATCATCATTCAAATGGGCTCTATGACCAAACCATGCAATATTCTCTCAAAACCCAGCATGACAAATTAATTCTTCCATTCATGGTGGTCTTGAATCTTTGGTGGTGTGATGTTGTGATGTGGTGTGAATGCTTGAGAGTTTCCCATACAGTATGCATGTATTTTCCTGTTCCTGTGCCTGTGACACACGGTAATGTCTTTTGGTCATTCATTTTAGGTTACAGCGCCCCTTACGTCCTAGTAGCCTAAGGCTCCCAGGAGAGTCTGATGGGGAGGGAGACTCCCGCAACAGCTCACCAAACTCCACCATTTCCAACAGCAGCGGTGATGGATTTGGAGGACTCATGTCCTTTGCCAGTAAGAACATTTGAATTTCATTTGGTTGCTTTTCAGCTAAGTCCAGATTGTAAAACATGGAAAGTGGGCTGATTTATGTGGGTGATGATGAATTGGAGGGCCAAAACCAAAAGCACTTCAATTCACCCATTCTTAAAGACTTAACACCCAGTTTAAGCTTGATCACGCCCCCTCACAAATTCAAAAATGCATTAAAGTGCATATTATACAGTGAGCGTGGTTGCCTATAACCAGAGACTGAACATGATCTCTCCTTGTCATATTGTTTTCTGTTTTGTCTAGAGGACAGAATATACCTGATCTGAGGCCATTTCAATGAACACTATAGACTGGGTCTAGAATCAGTAGATGCATAAAAGTACATTTTATGATAATGTACTCTTTTATAATGTGAATTGTTTAAAATACAATGTGTAATGTGAAAGGGATCACTCGAAGAGTCTGTTTTTATTGTAGATGTGGCCATTTACATACTGTATTTACTATGCTTACTACTCTTCACATACTAAGCACTTTTCTGTAAATATGTATAATAATTAGTGCTGTCAAACGATTAAGATATTTAATCGCGATTAAACGTATTAATGTCATAGTTAACTCGCAATTAATCGCACATTTTTATCTATTCTAAATGTCCCTTGATTTCTTTTTGTCCCATTATTTTTCTTCTCATTTTAATGCTCTTATCAACATGGAAAAGTGGATCAGCTTGCTTTGTGCAAATGTTGTTTTTATTGAAAAATCATCCATTGTTGCCTGGCTTTGACAAGGGGGCGGAGAATTGGCATCAGCTGTGTACTTGGCCATCAAGTGGCATTTCAGACTGGACGTGCTGCGATGATAGCTCAGTTCACAAGGACAAAACACACAGATCACTTTGGTCTTGTCAATGGAACCATTTGGCAACTTTTTAAAAGTAAACTTTCCATTCAGAATATTATTGGCATCCATTTCGGCGTCTCGCGCTCGCCATCCACTCAAAACGTAACGTCTACTACTCTTAAACAAGTGTGTGCGGCGTGCCTGTTGTTTTGTTTCCGGTCTAGCTAGATCCGGTGTGTTGTTGTAGTTTGTCTAACGTAACTAGTTGTTGCAACAGCATGTTAAAAAAACTACAAAGTTAAACAAACGCTAAACTCTCGATAAAAAAATGTACGCCGTTAAAATGGGTTTGCATTAACGCCGTTAATAACGCGTTTAACTGACAGCACTAATAATAATAATGATATTTATTCACCCTTAGTTACCTTTGGCTTTGCTTGATCATTTAAACTGTATTTCTGTTGTCTGATTATATTATTATAACTCCCACTACAGGCAATCTTTACAAGAACCATGGCACCAGTTTCAGTCTGTCCAATCTTGCGCTTCCCAACAAGGCAGCGAGGGACAAAGCAACACCTTTCCCTAGTCTAAAAGGTAGGACAACACAGCTTACCTGACCACCTTTATATCCCTCATGCAATTGGTGTTTTTATTGTCTGTCCAAGTTGTTCTGTGTGGTTTCAAGAGTAATAAGTATCATTATAGAATCTCTTGTTTAGGACTAAATGTGCAGTAGGGTGAGTTGATGAAGTTAAAGAATAAGAGCTAATAAGAAAAGATTTCGTGCCATTATTGTCAACATTTTTCTGACCCACCTATTTAGTTGTTTTTTTTATCACTGGCTTCATGTTTTACGTCATTTAACTGTTTATTAAGAGATTTTGTAAATTATGTTTTATCATACTTTAGATTATTCACAAATTTGAATCCTTTCATTTAATACAATTCCTAACTCATCATGCTAATGGCCTGCATTTTTTATTTAGTATTTTTTAAACGTCAGTATCCTTATTCAATTAATTTATCGCTTGTCCTTCTCTGCCTTTTTGTTTTCTTTTTTTAAATTACTTTTTTGGGAATAAGAATATTTCAATTTTGATATTGAGGAGGAAATGGAGCAAGCAGGTTTGTAGAGCTGTTTTTATGGCCTGACTTTCTTCCCACTGGATTGCCAAACAAATATGGCACTATTTAAAAGGAGAATATTGAGGATGTATCAAACAAAGTTTTTCTCTCGAGAGTAATGGGAAAATCCAGACAAAAACAGACTTCCCATTTGTTGTTGCCGTGGTCATGCACAGTTTGTTCTTCATTTGCAGAGATGAGATCTCTTTTTTATTTTTCTACTATACCATTAGCTGATGGTGTAGAACGTGTTCACATTAAGCATGTTTTGAGTAGTTTATACGATACATTGGATCAAATGCACACCTGATTATCTTTTGGAAGCCGAGAAATAAGGCAGGTCTTTTTCCAATCAAGCAGAGAAAGATGAAGCAACTGCATGATTTATGGTTTTATGGGTATAAGGACTGCAGTTACACATGAGTGGAAACCTAAGCATAATAAAATGAATCAAACCGCCGTGGCAGCTGATTCTCATTTTCAGCTATTTATGAACTGTTATGAACACTAGAGAAGGTATATTATGCAGAGCCTAGACAAATCTGTCATGCTTTGCTAACATTACAGGGACTAAAATTGTACTTCAGGATGGAGTTATTAAACTTGCTAATAGTTTAGTTTTTTTTTTTTTTTTCAATTCTGTTTACGAATTCTGTTTAGGCTGGATTTTCACTTTAACTGAGAGAAAAAACAGGTGAAGCATGGTAATCTAACTCAATAGCTCCACTCCATGTGGAATAGCTGCCATAAAAAAAATTTCTGTTCCTTTGATTATGATGTGTTTTGTCTTTGTTGTTCAGATGACCCTGACAGCCCGGGTATGTTATGTCTGGTGTGATAGTTTGTTTTAGCCCCCTGACTAGGTATTTCTTTATCCTTGAAGTGACCTATACCTATCTTACACCCTGTTTCTCAGCATAGGACTAAGATAGAAGATACACCTTTAATGCCATTCGTGTATATCCATACCTTCCCCTCTGTTCCTTTGCCCTTCCGCTCTGTGTGACTGGTGAGAGTCTATTTGGTGCATTATGATGCACACTTTTTCCTCTGTGACTACAAACTGTTATTGGTGTGGCATCTGCACATCCTTATTACTACAAGAAGGATGCTCAGTCCTTTTTAACTGCATTTACCTAATTCATATAGTTACATTTATGTCTGTGGATGGTGTTCACAGAAAGATCTGTCCTCAGTGAATGGAAATTAGTTCCTTCCTCCTGATTCTGTGTGTTTTTGCCTTGCTTGCTTGTTTGGTGGCTCCCATTGTCGAGTGTTTCCTACCCTTTTATGAGGTCACTCACTATTTTAACAAAAACAGTGATGAAACTTTGTAGCTCACAGGTTTTCTACTGAAGAATTTTACTGTGTATCATGATTGTCTTTTGTGTTTTTGTGCTCCAAACAAGATGTCTACCTTACATCATGCATAAATTGCTAAGAAACAAATCCATCCATTGCTCTAGATATACATTTTCATTGTTGAACTGGACAGTTCAGCATTATTCACATGGTTCAAGCTGATAAATACAACAAAGTATGAGCTATACACAGCTCCTACTTGGTACTGTAAATGTTGAATGTGTTGCCAAACACATGGCATTAGTCATCTTATCAGACACTTTCAGGGTTGAAACCATCATCAATACATATTGTCTTTTTCTCTTTTCTGTCTGCACTTTTCTCTTTTACTTTTTTATTGTCTTTGTTTTGGCGCCATGTTGAGTGTGCATGTCTGTTATGGGTTGATGTTCAGACTGGTTGTGTCTGGGCCGGTGTCCCTCTCTCTGTCCACCTTTTCGCGGCACTAATTCTGGGTTTTGTGTGCAGTATTTGGGCTAAATTCTCTAATGGAGATAATTACAGAGGCCGGCCCGGGGAGCGGAGAAGGTGGGTTCTGCCCTTTTATCGAGTGAGCTGCATGCTTCTCCAAGCCAGTCAACTACATCTCCCAGCATCCCCTTCTGTCTATCCTCATTTCAGTCACCGTGTGTGTCATCAAAGATCCAGTGGAGCATTGAGTTTGTTGTCTTACCACGCCGCCATTCATAGTGACTGTTCCCCTTCCTCAGACTAACTGTTTCACCCCACAGTATGATTCATTTTATTTATTGAACTGTCCTTGTCAGAAGTGAGTTGTAAAGGACTTATGATGAAGTATACCTAGATCTAACATCAGGTAATCATAGGAAACAGTGAAACAATCCATTATGCAAACAAACACAGGGAAGCAAATGAAGCACAAGACAGGATGTTGGACAAACAGAATAAGAATAGAATTGACTAAGTTAGCATCCGTTGTTTGTCATTGTTTTCTTGTCGTTTTTGCTCCCACAGAGTACAATTGGGGTTGGGCCCAATCATGCTGTAATTGTGTTGTACACAATGAGCAGTGACTACAGTAAAATTATGCACATTTTGGTGAAAATCCCTATTTATCATCAGCGAACTTAATGCAGGCTTTTGCCAGGCGAGATACCGGTTGTCTAGATGGTTGTTTTATGTCATAAAGATACAACCTGGCAGATAAAATGAGAAGTTATTTAGATTACACACTCCGACTTCATATTCTGGGGCATGTGTTTCATAGCAGTTTTTGGGGGAGTTTGGGGAACTGAGGCTGTCACTGTTTGTCAGTTATCTCAAGAGGCTTTGGGTATGTGTTGGTATAATTACAACATTAGAAGAAATGTGCCTTCACATATATTTTGTGGTTAGTTGCTTGAAGTGAATTTTGTCTTTGGTGGTGGTTATTAACCCCAGAGGTGAAGCTAGATTGATTGCACATGCAAAATAACAAAGCACAGACAAGTCAGACAACAATGAAAGACATAATGCCACAACAGTAGTAACACTAACACACAAACACATATTCCATGAGGGCATTAATGGAGCTCAGGAGTCCGGCTAGCCACAGGATATTAATACAGTCAATCAATTGATAAATAAAAAGCTTACCATTAGTGATGCACTTAAAACAGGACCATTAATACAGGCAGAAAATAACAAAGGCAAATAAAATACTATAAAAGAAGACCTTACAAGTTATGTAGAAAACACAACCCCTTTCTCAGGAAACGTCATTCACACCTAAACCGGTCACTGTGTATATATGAGTATCAAAAACCCATCTGAGTAAACACACATCATGAAAACTAGTTATCCAGTCCTCGTCTGTGATAGCCAATCGTTTTGGGCTGCTGTCTTCTGGTAATGCAGAATCATGATGACATTACCATTATGAAATCTTAAATCAATTCATCATGTTGACTAGCCTTGATAGAAAGCTTACCTGCAGTTCACATGATAACAGTGAATTTACTGAATTGCAGGCTCATTTTCCCTGAAGGCTATCAGGTTTTTCTTTCTTTGTACTTGCAGGATTCCAATTAGGTTTGTTTTTTGGTGTAAATGGTTTCCTATCTGTCAAGGTTTCTCAGTTGTCTGTCTGCTACACATAATGTCTAGAAGAGACTTTTTATTATTGGTGGACCATCTGAAGGGGTATTTTGTGCCACAGCCTGGTATAGGTGGCAAAAGTACACACATTATTTACTCAAGTAAAGTACAGGTACTTATGATGTTGGGAAGGTGTGTAATGATGCTAAAAACTATATATTAATCAATAATTCCCCTCAAATTCATTCAAACCTAAGTAGTAAAAGTAAAAGGTATATGGGAAATAAATACTCCAAGTAATGTACAGGTACCTGTAAAAAACAACAAGTACAGTAACAAAGTATTTATACTTCTTTACTTTCCACCTCTGGCCAACGGCAATACTGGACTAAGAAGAGGAAATTACATACATGCACTTTTAATGGGATCAAAAATGTCTGAATAGCACATGTAATAACATGTAATGTTCTAGTCCCCCTAGATGATATATAGACTAGAATCCTTTAATTGTAAACTAGTATTACGTTTGTGATATTTCTCTCACAGTCTTTCTGTGATTGACTATGTCTAATTTGAGTCATGCTTTAGAGTGTCTGTTGACTGGATTTAGTCTTATGATTTTCGACCTGGCCATGTCAGTACAGGGTTAAAATCACACTGATGTTGATAGTAGAGTGACTCGTATGCTGGTGATCTGTTAGCTAAGTTGTTGTTTGCAAGCTGACCTGTTTGTGCAGTTAAGCTTTTGCTGGCTCAGTCTTGGGTTTCACATTGGCTTTGCTACAATCTCTCCCTTGTTACTTAGGTCAAAAAATCATTTGACCACTAAGGTCAAGGACCATTTAAAAAAGCTGCAGCCTCAAAGTATCCTCCATTGATATACCTCTGGGCTTTTTCTAGCCGCTGTAAAAGCCACAGTTAAAAGCTGAGATATGGCCAAGACCTGCATGCTGTCCAGCAAAACATATTGATGAAGGCCTCCAGCCACAGACTCCACTGGTGCTACTACTGTTTGTTTACCACAAACTTTTTCATGTAACCTGAGATATATCTGCCCATATCCATGGTGGACAAAATCCATAGGTCCCTAGTGCATAGTCTCTACCATCTTCCTACAGCAGTGTTTAATATACTCATCAAGGGCCTCTGGGTTTCAAGAGATGTTTCTATTGCAGTCATTTTGAGAATAAGTCATAAGCAGGTAAGCATTACTGTTTTTTAAACTAAAACATACTGAAACATTCTGCTTGTGTAGAGAATTGGTATCTGGAATAAAACCTAATTTCTTGTCCCCATGACACTCCAGCAACAATAATAAACAATAGATCCCCGCTGTCAAAAACTTGCAATAAAGCAGCCTTGTAATGACAGATGTTCCATCAGAGAAGCTTTCTGTCCTTGTAGGAGGGTGCTCCTCCCACATCCTTTCATGCTTAGAAACAGAATCAGCAAGTAACAAAATGGAGAAATTGTGAGCTCATCGCACATTTAGATTTGACTTTATTGTCTTTGTCTATTTCAGGACATACTCATGAGCACTCATTACAGTATAGATCTGTAGAGCTGTGGATTACTGTGCTTAGACCAACTGGATTTTTTTAGCCAGCTAATGACTGAATGAAAGTCGTGTGCTTGTATTTTATTTCAAGTGTTGTTGAGGATTTAATGTATTGCAGTTAAAGTAAAACTGTTGCCAGAGAATTGCTGAAGATAGATACTCTTAAACATGCTACATTTGTTAAAGATTTCTAAATGAAAGAAACACATTGTTATGATGGCTCGATGGCATGATTATCGTTATATATTTAAATGTTCACTTGAGCTGTGACTCAACCTAAGCCCAATTAGGCCTGACCATATGTGTTCCAGCATGGCTCTAATTTATCTCATAGCTTGATCTGGTTGGGTTTTATTTCATCTACAGTTGCTCCAATACCAGTATTGGAAATCCTTCCTGTATGTACATGTGTCTGTGCGCCAATCCGATACCATGTAAGGTAATAGCCCCAGAACGCTTCCCTGCCACTTCCCAGCAGTGTCCCATTTTTTTCCCCAGGATAGCAAAGTCATGACCTGCCCAACTCTGACTCTGACAAAGAGTTTAATCTGAGCCAGGCCATACAACAATGATAGTAATCATACAGGCTTCGTAGTATATACCGCACACACTAATGTTAGAATTGGGCCAAATTATCATTTGTTGTGCAGTCTGGACACCTGATTAATTGCCTGAACCATCAACTTTTTAACTGTTGGATGATTAGTGGAATAGTTAAAAACTGTAATAAACTTTATATATTACTGGAGTAGTATTTTACTAGATATGTGATATATCTGTAATATAAAACTTCCCTAGCCTTTGAACCAGACAAATACGTGAGCTCAGGTTTCATTTGATGGGTTACACGTGCAGATTAGTCTGCCGATGCTTGGTTAGAACTTAACTGCAGAAAAGACAATGCTGCCTTTCACTCTTTTTGTCAGCATTGATGAGGATGCGACCTGCTAATTTGAATTAACTTTACTGGAATTGCCAATGGACTAAACTGCCCGGGGCTTCAGTGTTTACATGTAGTGTGAGCACCATGTTGTTGCGAGTCAATGGAGCTGTTCAATGCGGGTCATAGAAGTTGTAAGTTGCAGAGAGGCTGATTAAAGCGTGTAGTGTGAGCTAAGGACACAGATGATAAAAATAACGCTTTAGATAGAATGAAAGTTTACATCAGAGGAATTTATTTTGTCCTGAGATGCTAGTTACAAGTTATAAAAGGCTTCTGCATCAAGATATGACAGTCATTAATGACCAGCCTCAATAAATACTGCAGTGGTTTGGACTCAAATGGATCCAGTGAAGTCTGGGTCAAGTCTCATATGTATTTGTTTGAGTCACTTAAGTAAGAACATAGACTTTCTGAAACGTTTTGCGAGTGTCCTTTAGTGATTATAATATAATGATAAAATGATTGACCCAACCCCCCCAAGTGGTTCACTTGCAGATGCCGATCAGCATCCCATTGCAGCAGTGTATTAAAATGAGTCAGCTTGTGACGTTGTAGTGTAGCTCATTTTTCTTGCCATCCACACATCCTTATACTTTCTTTCATGCATGATGTCACTGATGTAGTTGCTGTACACACTATCCTCCGTCTGACCTCCCATATCTATGCTAATGTGTGATGCCACCACCAAGAGCACTTTTTTTTTTTTTTTGTGTGTGTGTGTGTGTGTGTGTGTGTGTGTGTGTGTGTGTGTGTGTGTGTGTGTGTGTGTGTGTGTGTGTGTGTGTGTGTGTGTGGGCACCATGTCCCTGTTTGATTTGTCCTTCACCTCTCTTGTTGTAATAATAGACTCTAGCAGCTACAGTAATTCGTCTGTTCAGCAGTAGATAACCTTCACTAGATTCCAGGTGTGTGTGTTTGTCCTCTTCACATAGTGATGTGAACTGCTTTATTTTCTATTTGATGTGGTAGCTTAAAAAAAAGACTAGTTTCAAAGTTGTTTCCTGTCCTGGTTTACAGTTCCTGGTGAGAAAGTGCCTTTGTGTGTTCCCAGTCCACCTCTGCTGAGTGCTTTTCTGTCTAGTGACCTAGTAGTTTGCACTTTTTGTTATTTTGGTTATTTTTGCTCCGTGGTGTTCGGAAAACTGATTTTGGTTCTTCTTCCAGGCGCACGTGCACCTCGAGCACTTGTGGACCAGAAGTCTTCAGTAATCAAGCACAGTCCAACAGTGAAGAGAGAATCGCCCTCTCCTCAGGGTCGAGTCAACAACACAAGGTATTCAATTCTTATAAATGTACAACTTCTGTCTTCCAACATGAAAGACTACAGCATATTGTCATTACATGTGTTTTATTTCGGGATGCTACGGTGTGTGTAGTAAGTGTTGTGTAATTACTTGTATCTCGTGAATATGACTGAAACTGTGTTCCTTTGATTCAGTGAGAACCAACAGTTCTTGAAGGAAGTGGTGCAGAGTGTTCTGGATGGTCAGGGAGTCGGCTGGCTCAACATGAAGAAAGTGCGCCGCCTCTTGGAGAATGAGCAGCTCCGTGTCTTTGTGCTGAGTAAGCTGAACAGAGCCATCCAGTCGGAGGAAGATGCCAGACAGGAGATCATACGTGATGTGGTGAGATACTTGCCTTTCCCTTCTCCACTGTGAATTGATGTACAAAGAAAGGAAGCAGGAATAAAGGCACATTTAGACCACTGAAGTCTGCATAAATTAAATTATGCAGTTTAATTCTTTATTGTTGGTAGCATGGTGATTTGCAAATACTGTGTTTTTCTTCATTCAAGGTTTTTTGTCCAGCAAATTAAATTTTATTATGGCTGCAACTAATGAATTTTCTTTGTCGACTTTTCTGTTGATTAGTCTGATTTATCCTTAAGTCAGAAAATAGTGAAAAATGCCTGTTTATAATATTAGTTTAAGTCAGTTTAACTGTCCAAAATCCAAAGATATCCAGTTTACTGTCATGACACAAACCCATAAACCCATAAAGTGATGTTTTGCAGCTGTACGTTACTTGATGATTGACAACAAAGTCACATGAACTCACTGCAAGAAATTATTCTCAGATTAGTGAGACACCCTCTATCTTTAGACCATGGTACTTGTAGTTGTGCTTTTTTTATGTTCTGTTAAAATCATTATAAACCTTGTTACTGTGTTTTGTTTCCAGGAGGTGAGCAGAAAGGTGTACAAAGGCATGCTGGACATCTTGAAGTGCACAGTTTCCAGTCTGGAGCACTCTTACACTAATGCAGGGCTCGGAGGAATGGCCAGTGTCTTCAGTTTATTGGAAATAGCGCGCACACACTATCAAACCAAAGGTACGTGGAGCACAGAAATGTATACATTTAGTGCTGGATTGCCTGATTTATACAACGTAGATTATTTAAAAATGTGTCAGTTTATTATTTTAAGTCTTCCTGTGCATAACAGCAATGGGCTTGTGCTACTAACACTTGTCCATGTCTTTGCATTGTGTTTAAATTAAGCTTTAAGCAGCATGCTATGTTGACCGACTAAGACATTGTAATTGTAAAATTTAGATCCTATCAGTGTTTTTTCTTCTTTTTCTAATACTGTTAATCCTCTCCCAGTTTAAACCTTTACCTCTTTCTGTAATTTTGATGAACTCTGTCTTTGGCCCCTTAATTTTGGTAACTTGGTAGACCCAGAAAAACGCAAGCGAAGCCCCACAGACAGTGCTGGCAGCCCGGGGAGTAAAGAGAGTCCTACTGGTCGTATGGAGACTGCCAGACCTCAGGGCCTTCTGAATGTTCCTCATCTGCAGCTGCCGCACCACACAACGGGCAAAGGAGCCCGCCATTTTGATACCCGGAGTCTGAATGAGGAGAACTTTATTGCCTCGATTGGTGTGTACACCACTCCAGCCCCGGTTGCATGTGCACTGTGAGATCTCTTACCCCATCCCCTACAAGCTCATCAACCTTACTACCAGTCTCCCACCCCCCCTCCAACCGTCTCAAAGAAAGATCCCTTTACTTTTCCCAGGCAGATTCTTACAGGTGTTATAATATTCCACACACTTTGACCTGAAATACTGGTGATAATCACTGGAGTGAGCAATATCAACGTTTCAAAATATCTGTGCCTTTCAAACCCAATACTTTAGTATTGGTAAATTTGTGTCTGGTAATGACTTTTAAAAATAAAAAATGATTTAAAGAGAAAATCTAAATTAATAATTTGGCTCTGGTTAAAATATTCCCAATGCAGATCTGAAGTAGCCTTGAAAAGTGTCTGGAATATTTCCCTGTGTTCCAGGCTGGACTGCGTGTGTTTGTCTCCCCTTCCTTAAACATCTGTGCCCCTGTTTGCCTCCTCTCTGGAGATCTGTTTTCAGCCTCTTAGCACCTTGAATGCATGTCTTTGTTTTGGTCTTCCAATACCTAAATCTGCAGTAGTGGACGAGGGAAACCAGAGGTATGCGCATCGATAGTCAAATCGTCCCAGGTTTGCCTTTACTGCAGGTTTCTGCGAGGCGTGCTGTAGAAAATGGCAGTTCCCTTTGCTCTCAGCATGGAGGGTGGAAGCATCACTCCCCAGTAAACAGTCCCAGTAAAGAGACAAATTTCACAGCAGCAAGTGTTTGCTATTGGTCGACAAAGAACCAACTGACTTAGAAAATCCTAAATAATCTCTTTACCACTTAATGTTCAGAGAATTATTCTGGGTCTGTATACGGGGGACACTTTTAGTCAACCACCCTGACACCTCTCCTACCCGCACCCCTTCTTTTCCTGTTAGAAGTTGCACCTTCAATTCTACAGAATGCTGTGAGACTTGCATCCCGGCTTCTGCAACTGCTCCATTTCACCTGCTGGCTAGTCGGCCTCTCAACCCCATCCCACGCTCTTTTCCGAATCACCCATCTCTCTCTGTCACCTTTGCTCTGGAGAGCCAGACAAATGCAGTCGATGAAACCGGGGGCCTGTGGTCAGAGCCAAAGCTCAGTCCGACGTCACTGTGTGGCTCTCCAGGACTTTGGGCCAGGAGGTCTGGGTGTGTTGTAATGTTACCGTAGTAGCTGTCACACACAGTGGATCCAACTTGACAACAAAATGCTTCTTGTTTTCTTCTTATTGTGTCCAGATTAAAGTGCAGTTACATGCAAACATTACAAAACACCCTCATTCAGTAATGACAGATTCTCAATGCTTATTTTGTTTTTGTTTTTATTTTAATGCTCATCCACCATACATGCCTTTTCAACCAGCTCTCTGACTCTCTCTCTGTCTTTCTCTCCTTGCTTGCAATGCATCTTGGGTAGAATTGTGGAGCAAGCACCAGGATAAGCAAAAAGCTATGGAAAAACCACAGAGTAAGAGACTTTTCACACACCAGAAAAAGAAAAAGGATTGGGGTGTTCAGCTGTTGACCTCTTCCCACCCCCTTCTCTCCACATTTTCAAACTCAACAGTGTCTTTCTACATGAATAAATGAAAAGGATTGCTCCTAATAAAAAATGTCAAAATGGATAAGTGAAAAAATATAAGTGCCTTGGAGTAAGATCAAGATTTTACTACAAATGAGATGTGTATCAGCTTGATTTTAGCTCAGTTTATTTGAATGATTTTCTAGTTTCGCACACATGACACTGGAATCATATGCAGTAGTGTTGGTATCCTCTAGTGGTATTAAATTTACTGTGTTTGCTATATGACAACTAGGGTCACTGAATCTCTGACAGATATTACCCTGAGAGAAATTACACCCTTGTTTCACTTCCAAAAATATTCCATGTTCTGTTTAATCAAGACTTGAGATGGCAGCAAGTCTCGGTATGTTTTGGTAAGTTCCTCCAGCAGGCATTACAGTGCTAGTTTTACTTTAATACAGTATGTAATCACCTTAGCTTTGTTAGCCTAATGGCTGTAGCTCAGAAGGTGTGTTGCAGAACATACTGTAGAAGCAAACACGGGAATGTAATGCTGTGTGTGTATATATATATATATATTTTTTTTTTTGACAGTTTAAACAGGTTTATATCTTATTTATATATATATATATATATATATATATATATATATATATATTTATATCTCATTCTACACATTTAGACTCTTCATACTCATAGGGTCCTTGATTTAAAAACAATATGGGAATTTTATGTTATTGTCACTGGCTTAAGCTTCAAGCGATATGTCATTCTGTTTTCCAGTGTTTTATTTTTATCCCTTGACACCATGCATCAAGATGAGCAGAAATGAATACCTGCTGCCCTGTCCTGCTCTTTTAACTGTATTTTTTCCAGTTTCAAGTGGCTTGCTGTGAGTTTTGTATCTACAGCCAATATTCTACAGTTGCTGGCACCTTTTTATACTAAACTGTTTGCAAACGTCCAGTGACACAAAAAAAACTGAAAAACAAGGAAGTGTCAGGATCTACCTGTCACCATGTCTATGATAAATAACAAAGTACAAATCACACTTGAAACAGAAAACGTCCCCTTTACCGTCCATCAGTTTGTCTGCATGCCTAACTGCCTGTGTCTGTTTGTTGTTTTTGGTGTAACTTGGGCCACATTTGCAGCATTGACTGAGAATTAATGTCGCGCTCTTGCAGTTTTGTTTTCATTTGTAACTTTTTCCCCCAAGTTTATGGCGCTCTCTGCTTGCCCCTTTGTAACTTGTCTGTCTGGTCTTTAAAAACTTAATCTGTTACTGCTCATATAAGCTCCAGTATTGTATAGAGAAAGTTGTGTAAAAAAAAAACAAGTTTTCCTATTAAATAGCTGTATTATAGTCACCCTGCATTTTAGCTAGAGGCAGCTTAAGGCTCTGAGTCTTTGATATAAGTATAATTTCACAAACATAAATAAAGTAGCGTTATACTGTATGCTTTGCTGTGTCATGCAGTGTTTAAATAGAGGCTTTGACGTAGCATCAGTGTTGCTGTGCTGTGGTGGCTTTGAGTGAGGCGACTCTCAGTGAGGCAAAAAGATAATGCAGCCGTATTCATGGAAACCATGCTGATAATTATGTCTGTCCTGTAGGGTCTGAAGGAGCGAAGCAGCAGCGCCCCCAGGTGACAGATGCAGAGGAGAAGAAATCACAGATCAGTGCTGACAGTGGCCTCAGTGTCACATCTGGATCTCAGGTTTGTTCATGTAGAATTATTGTGTGAAAATTTTAAACTTTTGTCAATTAAAGAATTTTAATAGCTAGATGGGGTTCACCAGTCATTTCTTTTTCATGCTGCTAAACAAACAAGATACTAATATCATAGTCAAACACCCTAAGAGCTGCAGGCTGCACACACAACAGACAGGCCTGAAGATGAAACTGATCTTCAGTGTCAGTGTCCAGTTGTATAGCTACACTTTCAGCCTTCACCAAAGTCTGCTATGCTTGTAACCTTCAATCTATGGTGTTGGTCTTTAAATGTTCAAAACTGCTAATTGTGAAGAGCACATTTTTACTGTCTACGTATGAAATATCTCCTCTTTCTTTTTTTTCTTTGGGTTTACAGAAGAGCGACACAGAGTCTGTAACAAGCTCAGAGCCACCGATTCTGACGAGAAGCACCAGCCAGGACTCAGAGGCTAGCACAGTGGTAGGGCACAGCCAACTCAGATATGACGCACTTTGTTCCTTTCTATTCCAGCGACACTTCACAATATTAGCTGCAGGTTCCAGGATGGTATTTTTGATCCAAACCATTTAAAAGACCAGTGTGTAGGATTTAGTAGCATCTAGCTGTGAAGTTGTAGAATTCAACTAACTGAACACGGCTCAAGTCTGAATTTGATGACTTGGGAATGAGAACGGGCTATGAAGTGTGTAGGAGAAACTATGGTGGTCGTGAAACACGCAAAAAACAGGAAAGGCCCTATCTAGAGCCAGTGTTTGGTCTGTCTGTTCTGGGATACTGTAGAAACATGGTGGTTCAACATGGCAGAGTGCTGCAGTGTCTAGATAAAAATATTCTCAGCTAACGAAAACACTATAATTCCTATATTCAGGTGATTACACACTAATTAAAACAAACCTATGAACATATATTTCTGCCAATAGATCCCCCTGAATGTTACACACTGAACCTTTAAAGTCTTATTTTCCTTAAAAACATAATAAAATAACAGGATAGATAAGAAAATGGGTGGCATGTTGAACATATTATTGGCAGTGTGTTTACAAATTGAACAGATCACTTAGTCTCGACTGTTTGGTGACTGTGAGGTTGGTGTTACTTTTCTTACTTACAATGAATGCCAAAACCTGCTCTTTGTACCAAACCTTCTGGACATAAAACACCTCCACTTGTGTACTGTTGTTACACCTGGATTTTTATTTTTAGATAAGCAATAGCTCTGGAGAGACTCTTGGCGCCGACAGTGACCTGAGCAGCACAGCGGGAGACGGCCTCGGTGGAAGAATTGCTCCTCATTTAAATCAGTCCAGAGGAACTCTTTCTGACAGTGAGATTGAAACCAATCCAGCCACAAGTACAGTGTTTGTAAGTATAAAACTCACTATAAGTGACATGTAGATTATACAGTGAGATACAGTACATAATAGCCAACTTAAAATAAGACTATTCAATTACAAACAACAGTCATGAATAAGTTGAAAAGCTCTACAGAAGGTGCCTGAAGTGGATGGGATTTCAGGGTTCCCATGCATATGAGAAAAACTTGAATATTGCAGGCTAGTTTTCCACTACTGAAAAACACTTGAAAATGAGAGAAAAAGGTTTAATGTCCTGGAAAATTGCTTCTGTATTTTCCTTTTTGCCAAGAATGAACTCTGGCTGCAATCCGGCAATTGAAAATGTGTGATGTGTTAAAGCTCAACTGCTGGTTAATGATTGAGAGTATTTCAATGTGCAACATCAAACGACTCTGAATGCACCTCGGGTCTGGAGGACTGTACGTGTGGAAAATCCCCTCCTACTCCAACTTTCCTCTACCTAAGTTCATCAAATTGGGCAGGAAGATGTCTTTACATCAGTTCTACAATCCTTCTATGTAGACACTGATTATAGTTTCAACTGTGTAAATGTCGATATGCAAGATTGCTTCATTAGTTTGAGAATGAGTTTCTATCTTCAATAGTGTTATGTTTTGCTACTTGCTGCATAAATTAAGTTTTAGTATTGCTAGTAAGTTGAATGATTATTAATTGCAATAAGGAACTATTATGTCTAGATTCATATCTTATGTTTATACTTTTCTCCTGTTGTCAGCGAAGTCATTGGTATTATGTTGATTGGGATTCCTAGAGCCAGACTATTGTTTGGATAATAGTACTCGACCTGAATAAAATCTGCAGTACGCATGATCCTATGATCACAACCGGGCAAAACCAAAACATCATAAATACTAGACTACTAAAATACTAAATTGGCTGTTAAAAAAAAAATGTCACAAACATTATTATTAGTAGTTCAGTCAGGACCACTTTTTGTCAAAAGAACTTTTATTTCCAAAGCAGAATGTTACATCTGGCGGTATGACTCTGTTCTGGGACCTCCTTGTCCTTCCACGTGCCTACCAGGACAACCTTAAGGCAGGGAGAGCACACCTTCCTGCCCTTCCAGTTGCATACATGGAAAAGTTTAAGACAAGGAGAGCGGCAGCAGAGACCCCCCAGGGTATAGAACAGAGCAAGCATCAATGGCAATCAGAAAATGACATTGATTAATTAGATACAGCATAAAAGGAGGAGCTGGGGTGGACGTGGGTTGCAAAACAGCTTGTAGAGGAAACAGCAAAGATAGGCAGGCTGGAGCAGCTTAAATAAGGCGCCCTGAATGATATTTGCCAATTGGATGCTTGAGGGAATCAGCTGAGCTGTCAGCTGACTGTGTGTTTATGATTAGCTGTGATCAGCTGATGTAGCTGGAATTGAGAGCTGAGCTTGACTTTGTGGCCTGCCTGAACTAACGCAAAAAAAAATTATCTCAAAATGAGAAGAGATGGTTTATGCCAGATTTAGCTATTAGCTCATTTCCATCTCCATTCCTTAGGAAGCAACAAAGCAACACTAATCACCAGACACTAAAACCATTTCATGCACATGCAACAGCATTACATAATCTCTATCACACTATTATATACACATATCTACAGGCACACATTGCAGCATATAAATCCAGTACAACTATAAAAACACAATATACTAACAGCATGTTGTTCTCTTGTTTTCACAGGGAAAGACCCACACTCTGAAACCAAGTGCAAAAGATCATGTACTTGCTATGGCAAAGGGGCCGCCTGCGCAGCCCGTGGAGGACATCAGTATGAGGATTTACCTTTGTGAAGGCCTGCTGGGTATGTTCCGCTCTCTAGTTTACTGCTATACTTCCTCTTATAGTTATGTCTGCTGACACTTCTGAAGTTTCCTTCCGGTGTTCTTAAAAACACTTAGTATTCTCTTTGTCTGTATTTGCTTTACTAACATTATCTTTGTTTGTCAAAGAAAGTCTTTTGAACCAAACAACCTTATAATATTAAAAATCACTTCCACTCAAGACATTGTCGCTAGATGACCTTTCAGATTGTGCCAGCTCTGGCTTTGGTTTGCCTCGTTAATGTAACAACAGTGAACTTTCAATAATTATGGAAAGAGTTATACTGGAAAAAAGGCCAGCCAAAAGTCAGACATGTGATTACCTAGAAGTAGTGTAATGTTAAATGTTTGTTATGAAACAGTGAACTGAACATCTGTTAAAAGACAAACAGTTATGCTGATGGAGATGTAATTTGTCCAGTTTTACATAGTGATGAATTAACACTACTGATTTAAGTGGGAAGTTGTATTCACTGCTGTCTGAAAATACTTGCATGTGAAAACAGAATTAACATCAAAGCAAATGAAGAAATTAAAAAAGTTTTTAAATTTTGGTCCTTTTAAGAATATTTATTTGCATTATGGTAATTCATGACTGCAGCTGCTGCAGATTAATTAGTCGTGTTTAATTGTAATCATATTTTTATCATAACAAAACTGAATTCATTTGACATTTTATGTTAAACTGCAGTCTTTAAATATGTAAAAACAATTAGGACTTAAAGTCAATATCATATTTAAACATACAGTCCCAATAACAATGTCATTGCTCATCTACTCAACTGTGCTAAACATTTATTTTTTAAATTACACTGTGTATAAGTGCAAGCTATCGGCCGTAAATTAGTGAGTAAATTAGCACGATATGTCTCTGTTTGTCCTTGTTTTTGTTCCTCTGGTGTGGTTCTCGGCTTGCTCTGCTCTTGTTTTTGACATTAAACCTACTCACCTCTTCGCCTAACCCCCTCCTGCTCTCGCTGCTTCTCATCCCTCCTGCTGCTCCTCCTGGGAAATTCTTCCAGGGCGCGATAAGAGCTCCGTTTGGGATCAACTAGAGGATGCTGCCATGGAAACCTTTTCTCTAAGTAGGGCTAATCTCTTGCCTTTGCCCTTTTTCCTATGTATGTATGTGTGTACGGGGGTTGTATCCATTGTTCACACGGACTAGCTCTGAGTTTAATCTTTGATGTGATGTGATGTGGGTTTTTCCTGTCCATTTGTGAGCTGCACATCTGTGTGTTTCGCAACATGAGATAGAAGTGGAATATATAAGTAGTCGTGCAGAATTTGGTCATAGTCTTCCCTCACAGGGACTTCAAAGACAGCAACGGTGTGTGTGTGACTTCCATCCACTTTCGCTCTAATTTTTTAACATTTATTTTAATTCCGCTCATTTCACCCAGTTTTTTGACTTTCATGTCGCCCTAAAAGCTTAACATTTCATGGGTTTGCATATTGGATGAGCGCATGTTGCCTTCAAGTGCTGTCATAAATGTAATTATGAGTTGAGCACACTCATACAAGCCACCAGCTTGTAAATACCATTGGGAAATGTCAAGATTTCCAATGAGTTACTGTAATGCAACGTCAGCCACCTCCATAAAAGCTCTATAAAGGATAGCTGCTAACACTTGAAGTGAAGGTTTTACTATGCGTTACTATAAGTGTTATTACTGAAGGTCTAATTGATTCTTACTCATTTTCCTGCATGACTGAGAACTATGAACTACTTGTTCATCTTCTTAAAGCTGGCTTCGTTGAAACAGAGAGCTACAATAAAATGTTACAATATCAGTACTTCTTTACTTGCGGAAGTTTTATAGTAACTTTAAATCGAGGTATTGAAAGCAACATGCAAACAGTATAATATCTGGATAAATCATTTGTATCGCCGACTCTTCCCATCTCATTTTATCTTTTTAAAATAACCTACTTACTTAGAACTGACAGAATAAGTTGTGTTTGAATGGATCCGTTGTGTGCTGTGGGTGAAATTGTCCAGCGCTTAGGAGCTACATGAGTACTGTCTCCATGTGTTCAGGTAAGGAGCGCTCCACACTGTGGGACCAGCTGCAGTTCTGGGAGGACGCCTACTTAGATGCTGTGATGTTGGAGCGTGAAGGCATGGGTATGGACCAGGGACCCCAGGAGATGATCGAAAGGTTCAACATGGCTGACATTTTATTCGATCTGTTATTCATACGATGCGTGAATGTTTTGCCAAATTAGTTTTATATTTATGTAGCTTCGCCTTCTGATCCTGAACTATTAATACTTGCTTCTTTGTGTTTTGTCGGTCAACAGATACTTGTCGCTAGGAGATCATGACCGCAAGCGACTGGAGGATGATGAAGACAGACTTCTGGCCACGCTGCTGCACAATATGATTGCATTCATGCTAATGATGAAAGTACGGAAGCCTGTTTGTCATTTTAACCACAGGACAGCATAATTGTTTGTTGATCTATTCCAAATTACATTTTTTGTGTTCCTCCGGATATCTCAGCTTACGTTCCCTGTGGATGTTTTTGTTTGTTTAGTTGAACAAAAATGACATCAAGAAGAAAGTGAGGCGTTTGATGGGGAAGTCCCACATAGGCCTCACGTACAGCCAAGAGATCAACGAGATACTGGACAAACTGGCCAACATGGTGAATATCCGTCCTTGTTTTAACTCAATTCAACTTCTGTTCATCCTTTTTGTAATTATTTGTACTGAACTATATTTTTAGAACGGCCGTGAGCTTCCCGTCAGGCCCAGTGGAAGCCGTCACATCAAAAAGCAAACATTTGTTGTACATGCTGGCACTGATACCACAGGAGACATCTTTTTCATGGAGGTACTAATGTTTAATTCCTAGTACTATATCTGTAATTGTCCTTAATGCTGCGTGTAGAGAGCATGTTGTTGCTTATTTCACTAATATTAAACTTCATTGTTTCAGGTCTGTGATGACTGCATAGTCCTGCGCAGCAACATCGGCACAGTGTACGAGCGCTGGTGGTACGAGAAGCTCATCAATATGACTTACTGCCCCAAGACCAAGGTGCTTTGTCTCTGGAGACGTAACGGCCAAGAGACGCAGCTCAACAAGTTCTATACCAAAAAGGTCAGAAACTGCTTCTCTCAGCATCCTGTACTTTCATCCAGAGCATCGATCACAAATTCAAATAACTTTCCTCTTTGTATCTAGTGTCGTGAACTCTACTACTGTGTTAAAGACAGTATGGAAAGAGCTGCAGCAAGACAGCAAAGCATCAAACCAGGTACGGAGGGAGTGAGCTTTCTGTCTTTCTGTTTTTCTTTCTTGCTTCCATCTAGCCTTTCCTTTGACCCTTTTTTTTCTCAGTATAAACGAGAATAGCTTCTTTTGACACTTGTGATTGTTTGGAGTGTAATTATCTTTATAATTATAGTTATCTATTGTTAGTACAGCAGGGGAAAGACAGATTATATTGTCGGGTGTACCGAACCATAAAGGTCTCATACTGACCTAAACCTACTGTGATTAACACTTTGGGAAGAATACAAACACCATTATACCCCTGACATTAAAATAAAAATCCAACTAGGACGAGATAAAACTGTTCCTGCCCCACATCCCAGCAGTGTGTCATGTTTTTCTTTTCTGCATGCCCGTTAAGGTTTGAGGGATTTTATTTATTATCTATACTAGCTGTAAACTCAACTGTGGTTCCCTTCAGGTCCGGAGCTGGGCGGAGAGTTCCCTGTCCAGGACATGAAAACTGGTGAAGGTGGTCTGCTTCAGGTCACACTGGAAGGAATCAACCTTAAATTCATGCACAGCCAGGTAAGACGCTAGTACCACAGCAGAGAAACTGCTTCTCATCTCTCACACAAGGGCATGAAAATAAAGATCACTCATGATGGTTCATCCCGTCCTTCTGTCCACCTTTCTGTTCATCTCTCCTGTTTGCCTCATTTCCTTTCATCTCGTGATGTCTTCCTCTATTGTCATCAAAAATCAATCTTAGCCAAAATGTTAGCCATGACTGACGACACGTTTGATTGGCCTTTACTCGTACCTGATGTTTATCCCTTAGAGGAAGAATTCCTGTTTGTGCTTTTGCTTTTTTGGATTTGCTTTTTTCAGTTTCTGTTTGTGTTTGTTTGTGTTTGTGTGTGTGTCTGTGTGTGTGTTGTGTGTGTGTGTCTGTGTGTGTCTGTGTGTGTTCATATGCATGCGTTTCCTAAAAACAATATTAACACATCCTTCCACACAAGTTTCTTTTGACATCCGTGGTGCTCAAATGTCATTGTTCATTTACTGTGTGGGAGGAGATGAAGTGTTAATATGTGTGTGTGTGTGTGTGTGTGTGTGTGTGTGTGTGTGTGTTGTGTATCGTGCATCAGTGGTAAGACAGATGACCTTGAGCAAAGACTTTTCATTAATAATTGGCTATTTAATAGCAAGTTTGGACCCTTGACATTGTCTTGTGTTGTCTTCACACCTGCGCAGGTAGTCATAGTCGGGGTTGGTATATTTCTTCCGGTTCATTAGAATGTGAAGCTGTGAGTGAACAACGTGCTGTAGTTGAATTGTCTGAGAAGTGACCATGCTGAAATATCAGAGACCATTGCTGCTGATGGACACTGCATACGTATTTAGCATCTTAGAAACAACAAAACAAAAGAGTGAGTTGTTACCAAAGAGTAAACAAGATTGAACATGCATCTTAAAACTAATTTATCAAGAGCAAAAGCAATTTGAAGGGTCAGTTCATCCAAATTAAAAAAAAAAAAAAACATCTTCACATTTTAGTGGTATCCAGTCATGCAGGCAGTTTTGGTAAAATTCAGTTTTGAGGTATTTGTCTGAGTTTTCTGCCTCTAACCAAAGTGCAGTGGAGGTGAGGGGAATCATATTTGTGGTGCTCAGAAAATTTCATTTCAAGTATTCAGCAGCATAAAATGTCCTGGTTACTGATAAGTAAGTACCCAAAAGAGAGAAATTTGTACTTTATAATATGTACTTTATAATATTTGGTTTTATGATGTCCCCCTGTTACAATGTAATTGGTTGTTTGTAATCGTAATAACATGTGTAAACTAGGACTGCAACTAACAATTATTTCCATTGTCGATTTAATTTGCTAATTATTTTTACAATAAATTGATGAGTCCATAAATCAATAAGTCAATAATTAGGTGATATATATTCAGATAGTTTGTTTCGTATGACCAGCAGTCCAAAGCATAAAGATGTATAGTTTAAGATGACAGAAAGCATGAAGAAAACGAGAATATAATTTACATTTGAGAAGCTGGAATCAGTGAATTTCTACTATTTTTAAACTATATTTTGCATAAAGCAGTAATGTTATTATTATATGACGATACAACAATGTCCACGTCAGCCAGTTTAGATACCAAATAGATTCTTATTCATCAGCTCCACTGATTGAAGAATTACGCATGTCAAGCTCTAAAATCCACTGTACATTACTCAGCTCAGCACCAAAGGGCAGAGGTTGCGACTAGCTGGTGAACGAAGTGGAGCATTTAGCTGCTAGAAAGAGCAGGTTGAGAGCAAAATGAATGATATTGTTGCTCTGCACTGTCTGTTGGATGCATTCATAAACGACTATCTCCTAACAAGTTTATCATCATTATGAATTGTGTGTTCCAAAAAAAAAGTATGAAGTGCACAAGTTAAGAGGACGAAATGTTCATATTTCACTTATTTACTGGCTCTCACAGAATTCATCAGAGGGTGTGAGGTATGGAGGTTCAGTTCAGCAATACAATCTAATATTCATATACAGTTGATATACAGCTGAGAGTTGGACCCTATTATTTAGGAACCAATTATTTATCTTATCCCCTGTCCAATATACAGGGCTCAATCACAAGTATTTAGTTAAATCAGATTCAAACCATTACATACAACATGAAGCTTCACAGACACTGTTTGTGGCCATCATTGATTCACTATTAAGATCATAACCTACGTGACAATAAAGGGGCATTTTGAATAAACCCTATTAATATTCCATAGTGGGATAATCTTGAGGACAGTCGGAGGTAAAGGTGATTATGTTGTGTTGTAGCTTGTTTCTGCTTCTCCAAAGTGTCTAAAGAGTCAGTCAGTGTCTGTTTAAATATAATTCATTGCTGTGAACGTCACAAATAAAATTCCATTAAACTCTATTGTAAAACTAAAACTTTCTTCTTGGCCAGATACAATGTATTTTTTTTTTTTTATAATTCAGGTGGACAGACCCTTTAACTTGGATGTTGCTGCACTGAGTCACTGTTATGATTACTGCCTGCTTTTCCTTGCTGCTTCTGCTTCTTCTACCTCAGGCTCTTTTGGAATACATTTTCAGGAGCAGCTTTGCTACAGTTGTTAGATTGGGAATTTTCACGGATGGTTTAATTGTTTGTGAGGAAATCAGTTTCACCAAACCCTCAGCAGGAGCTTTATTTAGCACTGGATGCTTTTTTTTTTTTTTTTTTTTTTAAATGATAGTATTTCAGTGAGTGAGCACTGGGTCGGGTCCCGGGCAGCTGCAGTGAGATGGTGTCGGAGGTGACATCCTACATCTTAGTGGGATTTATTGTCCATCAGTGACTGCCCTCATTTATCTGGTCTGCTGTGTGAGCAAGTGGTGTTGGTGCCAGCCCTTGTTGCTGGAGGAGGAGGCATGGAGGGCTCTGGGGGACTGAGATGTTTAAAGTCCAGGAAAACAAAGGTGAATCCAGCTCTCAATACCCTAGTCAAACCTCTAGTCCTCTTTTTATTTTATTTTTTTCCTTCTCCTATTTCCTAGTTTTTGGGGCTGATTCCTCTTGTGACGGGTTTATCATATTGGCTCTGGTAACTTCTTAGCTAGATTCTTGATTTGAATCTGTACGAGGCTCCTGTGGATAGCGCCCTCTCGGAGTGTCGTCGAGTGTTTGTGCTCTTCTGTCCGATAATAATCCAAACCATTTCTCTCCCATGCTCTCTCCCCCTGCAAGGAGCGGAAGGTACACAACCTCTGCTGTGTTTGCTTATTAGCAGTTACATCTTATTGGGTTCCTTTTTGTTTTCTCTATCTTTTCTTTTAACTGTTGTAGCTGTATGGCAAATCTAATTTTGTGTCCTTGTCTACATTTTTATATGGAACTTCCATGTATGCATCATATGGGCCATATTGCATCTCTGAGCATAAAAAGAAATGTGTGTGTTTTTTTTTTTTTTTTAACTACCTTTGCTGTTTACAATCAGATATAACTATAAATTATTCTTCATACACTTCATTGATGAAACAAGTCATGTTGAATTAGTTTTGAGCTTTGAGCAGACTAAATGCATCTCTCCTCATTTAACCGTCGCCCATGTATGCGTTTGATCATGGAAACTTCTCATAGTGTGCTTTTCTTTTCTTTCGTTAGCTGTTAAAAGCTTGCATTCCATGTGTAGTTGTTTTATTTTTACCTTTCATACTGAATAAAACAAGTTTTAACATGGTTAATTTTTAAATATGAAGTGTTTACTTTTCATCCAGTGTTGTTGAGTTAATAATGTTCTGTCTTGTTTTGTTTGTTTTTTGTTTGTTTTTAGGTTTTCATAGAGCTGAGTCACATTAAAAAGTGCAATACAGTGAAGGGAGTCTTTGTCCTGGAGGAATTTGGTAATTACACCATCTATTGATTCTAGGCCTGTACTCGGCACGGCAGTAACTCAGCTTCATGGCAAACGTATTGACGAGAGCTAATAAGGGTTCACTAAATTGGATACTCGCTCTCCTCGAGGAACACTGAGACAATGATGTCTGTGGGTGATTAAGTGAGTGACCAATTCTTCTGAGGACGTGCTTTTCTTTAAATCACATGGTAGCGTAGACGTTTACAACAAGCAACATTTCGTTTAGTCCATAAAGTTAGGAAGAGAAATAATAAGTCTGTACAGTAAAAAGAAGAGTGAGGACGGAGTCGAGCTGCCTTTCTCACATATTCCCATAACAAGAATATCATTATAGCTAAAAGAGAAATATAAACATGAAAGGATATGTTTGCAGGTATTCTATATTTTTCATATCGTTGACAAATCCCATTTTAAAAAAAAAAAAAAACCAAGACCAAAACCAATAAAAAAAGTATTGACTGTGTATATATACCTTATTCGGCTGTGCCACAGAGATCCACTGTTCCCCAGAAACTATTAAAAACACATCAGTGAGCCTCTCTGTTGCACTGGCTGAGATGTTCCTTCATTACAATGAACACACACAGTAGTTTATTTTCAGTCAGTCCCACACGCACCATCCTGCTGCTGTGAACACTCACCAGAGCACCAAATGTGGATTAATCCTCAGCTTAAAATAGTCCCAAACAAATGTACTATTTACTCCAGTGTGAGTAATATTTGTTAAAAACTACAGTTCCCAGATATTTCAGGAAATATAAAGCTATATGTTTGTGTTCTTAAAGATTCACAAGTTCAGTTGGTTTTAGCATTTTCCTGTGATTCATTGACAGTACTAAAAATATAGAATACCACTGTGCTTTAGCTTTAAGAGCACTGAAGACTAATTTGTTTTTTAATGTTTTCCTGCATGAGTAACGTATTCAGCTTGAAATTAGTAGTACAAGTACACATGAATAAATGAAGGTAACAGCTAAAAATATTTCACCCAATTCTCAAACCATTTCATATGAAGTTTCCTGGAAAATAATCACAATAATCACTAATAATAATAATAAGTAGTTTTAGCTCCTAAACGCCTTCATTGCTCTGATAGAATCAGAAGAACACCTAATTTATCTACATTAAGTGAAAAAATAAAAGATATAAAATATATAATTGCTATATTAAAAAACACTGATTTGAAAAAACCAATAGTTTTTAATTTTATTTCATGAGGAAAAACAACTTCATACAGCTTCATCAGGTGTATAACAGCCTAATGAAGGGTTAGCGCGTGGTTTACATCTGTAGGAGGAGGTAAAAAAAACTGACTTCCAGTATGACGGTGCAGTATATGATCGTCAGAGGGGGAAGTTGAGTGCCAGGCTGGGTTACTGTCGTGTCTCTGTGCTGCTTTTGTAATGTTGCCCTCATCTTTGCCACTATGAAAACCTTCATTCTCCAGCAGGTAAAGTGTTGTCACCTTTCTCCTTTCTTATTCAAACTAATTCAAAGTATGTCCACACTCGACCCTTTCCATGGATTCCTTTTTTCTTTTCTTGTACCATGAGTTTTCCTCTGCTTCCTTCATCACTTGCTTTTCATTTCGGAGATCACCCCAGACTCCATCTCAACATGTGGTCTATCATTCTCTGATAGTCTGCCTCTGTATCTCAACAAGTGGAGATCTTTGGTCAGACTGTTGTTTTGGGGGATGTTGAGCAGAGGGATTTAACTTTTCCCAGCCCTTTCATCTGTCCAGATCTCAGCCTTCTCATCTCTGCTATGGGTTCACAGTTACTAATGAAAAGTCAATCTGTCCTGTGGACAGTGACATGGTCCTAGGTCAAAGGATTTTGGCCTCTTGTAGCTGCTTTTCTGTGATGTCTCTTAACTTTCAGTTCACCGGGGTGGAAGGGGTTGGGGAGGGGAGGTTGTCCCTTTTTTTTTCCCCTTGTTTTTTATTTTTCATATTTGAGACCTTTCCAGTCTCTTGTTATAAGACATTTGTGTTTTTATTTGTCCATGTTGTGGGCCATGAACGTCTCACCAACAGTCACCAGCTCAGATTGAATGCTTTCCCTTTATATAAACGGTTTAATCATTGCATTAGCCATTCTCACGGTCAGAGTATTAGTGTATTCCAGCAGAGGCAGGATTTAACAACTTGGCCTTTTTACCCTCTCTGTCTAAACTTCAATGTACTCCTGACTGTGAAGGTGGACTCTTCTTGGCCCACATCCCATTTTACACCTTGTTGAAAGTCCACCTCTGTAACCCCCAAAGCTCTCAAACGTTAACTCATTGCGGTTCCTGCTGCCTTTGAATTCTTTGTTTTGTCTCTTGCATCGGCATAGTTCCTGAAACTAAAGAAGTGGTGATCCACAAGTACAAGACCCCCATGGTGAGTCCCTCACTTCTTCTGCCTGAGTCGATACTTCTTACCAGTGCATGTAGAGTAGTTAGTCACCGGGTGTGCACAGCATAAATGGGCCTCATAAAATGTAACGTTTGTATCTGTAAACATCAAACAGCACTGTGGAGGAGTCCCTGCAGGGAAAATGAACATGGATTTAAGTCTGAAAACTGAAAGCAAAGTCTCCTAGGAAGCACTTAACACTTACTTTATAAAAATGTGTGAACTTAATCACCAACAGTGAAGCAATTTGACTGCGTCCGGTCATTAAAGGATTACGGAACCTTTTGAGAGTTTGCCCCCCTTAGTCACCTTAGTCAGTGTGATGAGTTATGTTTAAACTTCATCTTACAGTATTTTACAGCGCGTTCAGACTTAAAGCAGCAATTATCATTGCAAGTAGCAATGATTTCAAAAAAAAAAAAAAAAAGAAAAGAGAGTGTGTGTTGGTATTGCATTTCTCAAACATTTTACACCACGTACAACCTCAGAAGTACTACCATTACAACAGGCCCGACCCCATTCAGCTACAGACAGCTCTTATCTGTAGCAGGTTTATTCCTAATAAGAACATTATTTATTGTTGAGTTCTGTACAAAGGGGTACCACCAAATTACATTTCAGCCATCTCAGTTTAAATATTTCCATTCAAAGTTGATAGTATCATATGTTATTAAATGAATTTAAAAAATATATTTCTGAGATTTCTCTCTGCACCACTAGAGAGAGTTCACCATCCAGTGTGAGAACCAGTGGATTGGAACAGTGGTTCCCAGCCTTTTTCCTTGAGGGACCCCTTTTCTAATATCGGTTGCATTTATTTATGGATATTTCATATTATAGTCAGTGCATAACAATAACAGTACAGAACAACTGATAAACTGAACAATGAAACCAAACAGTGAGGGCAATATTGCATCAGAGTTTTCCTGATATTATTAAAGTGTAAAGCTTTGGCGACCACTAGTGGGGAGGATTATATATCCAAGCCAAAACACTGCACTGGTATATAATACTGTAAGACAGGAATGTACAATTACATTTTTCACCATGTTATCCTCCGATTGATCCTGAGGTGAACTGCAAAACTTCAAGTTAAAAGCTGAATCTACCAAGAATGTGCGCCTGCATGTATTCGATTGTCCAGTGCAGAGCTTTGTTGCATAACGGCGCACTGCGTTACAAATGTAGAGCGAGGTTTTGATTCTTTAGTCTGTTGCCAGATCCCACTGCTGCAGTTCCGTACTGTGCTGACCGCTGCACTCTGGTCATGATCTCTAAATGAGGAAATATAACAGCTGTAAGACCGGATAGTTAGGTTAAAGTAGAATGTGTATCAGTCTTCTTGTTGAGTAAGGTGACAACTGAGAGTAAACTCTTCACATTTCTGAACACCCAGCCGTATTCGGTTGTAAAGCAATAACTGGAAAATAGGTTTAATTAGAGAGAGACTACAATGCACTGGTCAGCCCCCTTTGTAAACAAAAGTCCTGTTTACGTTCAGCGTTACTCACCAGAACCCGCTGTGTGTATCCCTGAGGTCTAAGAAACATGTTGAATGCATTTTCTTCCTCGTAGAACATTTGCAGAGAGGGTTTTGAAAGAATTTAAATTGTGCATTGTTTACATCCATGTTCACTCGATAGCTGTCTTTACTGTAACCAAGCGCCGATCAGCAGTGCCAGTGTTATTAGTGGTCAAAAACACGTGGTACCTTTTGTTAACTCTGAAGCATGCGGGGCGCTCTTGTCCAGCTGTGCTCCTTTGTGTTATTTCTAACTGTGCAGATGTAACCTCACACCTGGGCCATTATCTTCCTCATGGTTATTTCTTCCTTCTGCAGGCACATCAGATCTGTTACTCCGTCCTCTGCCTTTTCTCCTACGTGGCGGCAGTGAAGGGGAAGGAGGCAGAAGGAAAACCCAAGATTCTGTCACCGAGACCCCTTCCTAGCTAGTCTACACCCCCGCGCCCTCTCCCCCCCCCCCCTCTCTCGCTCTCTCCCTTCCCCCTGTCCTCGGTGTGCCTCTCTACTTGAAATGGCATCTCAGTTCTAAAACCACAGACTTCTGACAATCCCTAACTCTACTCTTAAGCACACAATTCCTGCTCCCTCCTCCTGTATATACAAGCCTAAGACCCCTTTTTCGACCCTGTCGTGTAGACGTGTTTGGTCTGTGATGTCGTGTAAATAAATACAACCCCTCATTGCTGTCGTCCTGATGATTATACCAACTCGCTTAATGTTTGCTTGCTCCTTAACTCGGGAGAAGCGACTCCCCCTGAGCTCTCCTCCTCAGTGTGAAAGTCTTCTATTGTATCCCGCTGCCAAGACCCCAAATGTTTACACCGATAGGAGGAGATGTGAGGGATAGCCCCGAGGCACAGAGTGCATGCAGGTCCCGTGCACAGCCTTGACAATTCACTACAGAACAGCCCCCCGCCCGCCCGCCCGCCCCCTCTACCCGTCTCCATATGACTGTGAGTTATTCTGTGATATGTGGTTACTGTAAAGTTCCAGTCTGTCCAAGTTTAAACTGGTGAAACACCCAGAGACCCTCTCGTAGTGCAGGACGTCCCATGCTACTGTATACTGCACCAGAGCACCGCATGTAAACGCTTCTTAAAAGTGTTTGAACCCTAAAATAATGTGAGTGTTCTCAGATGTGATCTCTTGCCCTATATCGGCCCGCCAGGCTGAATTACTGTTCTAGTTCTACTGTAAAACTTCTCGTCTGTGGTCTGCTGTTATCAATTGCATGTTATGAGGATGAAAAATAAATATTATATATATTTCTATATATAGTATTTATTTAATATATACATATATTGACTGTAAATTTCTCTGAAAAAAAATGTTACAAATTGTTGATTTGCTAGATGTGCAATACTTAATAAGTAGTTAGCCATTGCCAGAGCCAGGTTTTCTTAAGTTAACTGGCGTTCACAGGGTGAAGAATGTAAGAAAGAACTTTTTTTTTCCCTATAGTACTTATTGATTGAAGTGAAAATGATGACTTCAGTTTGACATGACTGTTTAAAGTTTGTCTTTTGAACTCTGAATCACGTGAGGAGAAAAGCTGCTGCTGTGTTGCTCTCTACGGGTGCAAACCAGGCCACACCCCCAATCAGTGATCTTTTTATAATTTATTGGTTTGGCATTTTGCTTTTATTTGACAGTAAAGAGCTGACAAAGTCAGGAAGGAGAGAGGGAATGACTTGCTGCAAAGGACCAGAAACTGGGCCACTGCGGTAGGGCCTTAATGTGCGGTATGAGCTGCCAGGGCGCCCCACATCATGTGTTTTTAAACGTCCAAATACTGTCACGTACATGAACTTTGCTGCATGCAGAACTGTAATTCCAAGTTGGACATATCGGATGTTTCCCACAGCTTTGGTGTCACCACTTAAAAAGAACTATGAGTGGGGAATATGGCCATAAAGCCTCCATTACTGGCAGTTATTGAAATAAAATCACAACTTCTGACAGTGTGACCCTACTTTATCTGGAAATTGAAAAAAATAACGAAAGCAACATCCACTTGGCATTTCTCTAAATTATTTTGAAGTCTGAATGATATTAACAGCAACAGCAAGAAAATGTAACATCCATGCAGTATTGTCCTGCAGTCACACTTGGGCTGCAAATAATGATAATTTATTATAGTTTAAGTTGACTTATTACATTTGTGTCGTCCAACAAACAGTAAAAAAGAGTTATATAAACATATTTAATTAACTATCATAGAAGCTTGGTCACAGAATATGTTGTGACACTGGTACAGTTTGAACCGGTTTTGGAGTGCACTCCACAAGCAGCCAAGGACAAAGAGCGTTTTTTTTTTTTTTTTACAGATTAGTTTGCGACAAAAGTACACAATCCTCCGAGCCACAGCAGCAGTTTCGCGTCCTGTGATCGATCTTTCAGATGTGTTGAAGCCTACAGCTGTGGTGATCTTCTCCCAGAGGAGATCACCGAGTCTTAATGTTGTTTTCTGTTCTGTGATAGTAAAGAACGGTTGAATCTGGTCCCATCGCTGGCCCATTAACTTTCACAGTGAGAGTGTGTGTGTGTGTGCGTGTGTGTGCGTCCATGTGGTGAACAGTTTCTCCAGATCAGCAATATATTGGTACAGCTATGTCACTGCAAGATGTTTTGTTTTTTTTTATTCTGACATGCTTGTATTTTTAGTAACCGTGCAAAGGAAATACTGAGAAGAATATCCAGAAGATGCTGTTCTGTTAATAACACCACACACACGTCGGTGTAAATAAGATCTGAAGCATCTCCAGCATTGGTTTGATTGGTGGGAACGGGACACAGCTCTTTCTGCTTAAGTTAAAATGACTTTTTTTTTTAAACTGGATTATTAAACTCATCTCTGTCATTGTACTAGCCAGCTGCTGTAATGAGAGGGAATAAATGAAATGAGATGCCAGGTGTAAGTATTCCAGTATTTGAAAAAGTATTTATAGAATATGTACAGCTTTGGCAATATAATAAAGTTGTCGCAAATAAAGCTCAGCCTAGTTCATTGTCCGTCCAAAAAATGTGAAAAGAAATGTATAAAGAAGTGGAAGACAGACGTTTTTGGAGCTTTGAAGATTTATTTTATCAAATGGTGTGACTATTCAAACTTGTTTTTACAAAATGCAAATTTGCTGAATATTTGAATCCATATTGAACAGCAGCACAACCATCAAAAGTATTAAGACTGAAGGAAGGGGGAGAAAGGTACATCAGTATTATTATTAAGTCGACCTGTAAGCAAAGGTTTAAGCAGCCACAGAGGATGAAACATCAGCCGTACCCATCACAGGTAAGCGAATGCCTCATCAGGATTTATCTGCCTGGTTCTGCTATGGGGAGTACATCCATATTGTCTTTAGGTTACATAAAAATACATAAAACAAGGCGGTCTCTGGATTGTCTCTGGGCTCTTTGGCTACAGGAAAAGATTTGAAAGTTTCAGTAACAGCAGTGAGCAGGACTCACAATGTCCAATCTCTAGCAGCTACAGAGAATAAAGCCATCACAAACTCCATATTGAAACCTGAGCACATTGTGCTTTTTAATAAGAACACACTGTCAGCTTCTTTATTACAAAAAGTATTTTACCACAAACCTGGTAGCCATGCAGATTGGATCTTAAATGCCTAAGATCCCTTTCTCTGAAACCTGCCCACATCCTAGTTTGATGGGGAGAATTTAATGTATGCTGCAAAATATTAAAAATGACACTTGAGAAGACACAACAGAACTGTATCTCTGTTAATCTGGATAATCCACAGAACTCCTGTAAATAGTTTCCACAGGAACTATTCCTTTGGTATAAAAAAAAAAATAAAAACCTGTGGATTATTCAGAGAATATTTCAGGAAATACAAGCTGCTGTTGATGTGATCCTTTGTGCACCTCAAACAGGCACTAGTAAAAGCATACAGCCATTGCATTCATGCATCCCCAAAATGTCAACTCTTAGTAAACAGGCCAGTTTTCTGCTTTGCAATGACACGTGGCTTATAATAAACACGTGTTTTTACATGGTTTATTTATCTTAAGAAGAAGAAAACAAAATACCTAATCCTCCAGTTTGTCTGAAAACATTTGGAAGCACAACATTTGGAAATGCACGGCAAAAACCTCGGCAGATAAAAGGAAAGCCGTTTGGCCAGATGACACCAGGGTTAAGTAGAGAAGTACACATCTTGTCAATTGTAAGTTTAAAGTTATTTTATATTGCCGTTTCTGGCACGGCTACTGTAGCTTAAGGCGGTTTTTTAATTCAGACTGCGGTTCTACAGAATGAAGGGAAAGTCAAGGACATCACTTTCTTTGTGTAGGCACAGGATTAGACAGAGGTAGAAAGATACTGTAGCAGGCAGTAAGAAAACAAACAAATCTCAGTAATGGAACAAATTTTGCATTCTGGGCTGAGTCCGAAGTCACTCCCTTCTTCATAACTTCCTGTGTACAGTAATAGAGACTCTGTTTACTGTAGTGTGCAATAAGAAGACATTTCAGACTTGTGATTTATCGCCAAACAAAATGCCAGTAAATATAATGCACTACATAATAAATAGAGTGATTTCATAAACAGAATGTCTTGAGTCAAATATTAAAAGCAGAGAGGTGGGAATGATAACTTATTATTAACTTATTTTAGAAAACGTATAAATTCCACAATATCATATTGTGGAGTACCCAGGACAATGTATAAAACCTCTTCAATTTAAGTTAGAAACATTTTTGACACTAGTCATTATGAGCACCTAAAAGGTTTTTTTTCATACTTTTTGCATTCAAGCGTTGCGTATGTGAAATTATTTCATTATTTAAAGCATCCTAACTCGATCATTGTGTATTTCATCAAATTGTTTCATTTCATGATTTGATGCTCGATTACTTCAGAGTCAGAGATTTAGCTCTTGACCTGATTCTTTCAATGTCTTTGCAATTTCTTCCGTCTGTCTTCAGAGCAACATTTAGCTTAACTCGTTTTTTTTTAGCCGTCCGACATTGCACAGGCTGTAAAGCTACCCATTTGAATCTGGCTCATGCGTCATTGTGGACCGAGTTGCGGAGTATCCGGAGGCGAGACATGACCTCGTCCCAGTCCAGGTAGGCTCCCTCCAGGTGTCGCAACCTGTCTGGCCTGCTAATGTAGCTCCTCCGCCCGTGCAGCAGACGCCAGTTATCGAAGGTCACTATGTCACCTGAAATGCAACAACACCCAGAGATCAGAAACAAGGGTCTGACGTACGCTCCATCTGATCCTACGTTTCTCAGGGAAGAATTTAATTTTGTCACTCGTCCCCACCTCATTCACAGAGAGGTCAGAGGTCGGGGTCAACAGCTGAGCAATCGGCAGAGATCAAAGGCCTCATGCTTTAAACTAAATGACTGAAGCCTCCTCCTTACATTCTTTGTCTTTTTTGTAAAATTGGGTCCTTGATCTCAAGACAGGAACACAGGCTTCTTATCTATATCTATCCAACAACAGTCAGTTTTGTAGACTGAAAGACTTTTTTTCACAGCAGCCATTTTGACATGAAATAGCAGGGTAAACACAGGTGTTTCCAATAACATTAATTGCAGGTCCAATCAGGTCTGTCAAGGTGCTGCTATTGAGCATGTTGGCCCAAGGATTTCATGTAAAAACGGCTGCTGTCAAAGAGGTTTATGACAACTGGTATTAATATTAATAATTTCCAGCTGAATTTTAATCTTGTAAAAAGGGACTTAAAATGTGAACTTGATGGTTTCATAGTTGATAGCACAGTAAAAGACGGCTAAAGCTGCATGTCCGGGGCAAAAAGTCAGTCCTAGTATTATGACAAGGAAACATGTTAAGATCAAACTGTAACTCTAGGGTAGGGCTGCATGAAATGATAAAAACTTCAATATTTTGACAGGTACTGCGATATGATTCACGATTAGTGGGATTTTGGCATCAAAAATTCAATTTTCACGGAAAAAACTTAAAATCACGATAATGGGAAATCTTTTTGGGGGTCTGCATTTTTTTTTTCCTTTCATAGTCTTTTGTATAGTCCCACAAAATATTGTGGTTGAACAGTGAACTGCTTTATGGCCTTGGAAGCAACTATGGGTTACTACTGTCAGTAAGCTAGTCAGCAATCTCATGTTAAAAAGACAACACACCACTTAAACACACGGATAAAGTTTGATACTCTTGCCGTGTCGTGCTCACAATGTACGGACAGATTAGTTTGAAGTTTGAATAACTCTTTTAGCAACCTCAAGGACACGTCATCAGGATGGATGCTCTCTAACATGGAGGCCTGAACCTTTGGTGCTGCTGTCGAAAACACCGTCTCCCTACTAATGGCACCATTCTGCTTCACTTTGATGTCCTTAGTGTCTCGTACAATATCATTACTCCATCTCTTTGCTGAGCAGTGATTATTTAGAGAGGGTTACACCAGTCTTGGGTAATTTGATTTAGTCTACAGTGACAGAGATGACATTGCCTCTGATGTCATCCTGACCTTGCTTGATGATGATGATGACGGAGATGTTGTTAGCTACATGGCTGTACAAGTTCATGTTCTGTTCCCTAAAAGTCTCACTGACGTTTTTACTGTTTCTTAAATGAGTAGCGTTCGTAGAGGTGCACACTGACCTGGCTCCATTCTGTAGGTGACCATGTTCTCTGGTCGGTTCATGATATCCACATAGGCCTTCAGGGCTCTGTAGAAGGGCTGGACCTGATGTAAGGGGAGGTCCAGCACTGACTCTCTGGTGGCGTTGTTGTAGTTTATTCTCACAACTCGGCCCTCGGTGTCAACGCTGCTCGGAGACAACGGGGAAGGACAAAGCTCAGTGTCAAACTAACATGAATAGTGAAATTTACAACTTAAACATATTGTATGTTTATATGTGTTTATTGATCAAACAATCAACAGTCAAATCAGTCAAATATCAAGCAAACATGCCAAATTCACTAGTGAAGCTGCAACTAATGATATTTTTTTCAATTAATCTGGTACAATCTGACTTTAATATAAGAAATAAAAAAAAAGAAATTATCCCAATTTTAACATTAAAAAAAGGATTTACATGATTGATGCTGCAGATTATTTTTCTGTTCATTGTTTCATCTCTATGAACTAGTTCCAGCTCTTTCAGGTTGACGATTTCTTAGTTAGACAATTGTAAATTAAATATCTTTGGATACTGGATTGTTGGTCAGACCTTCGGAAACTCAAGGACAAATTCATATAGAAAATGATCAATAGATTCATCAATTATTAAAATAATTGTTGGTTTTGGTACCTGGGAAGGAATTGAAAGGCTTCATCGTTTATCGGGCAAATTGAATAAACATCTTTTTCAACTACATAGCCAAAAGTATGTGGACACATGAACATTAGACCGACATGCGGTCGTTGATCAACACAATGAATATTATTAAGCTGTTGTAACACTCTTTCTGTGAAGGCTTTCCACATGATTTTGGAGGCCATATTGAATCTACTGGTATATAATAATTCTGAACAGCAGATGGCAGTGTCCCATTTCAAATCACACACTCACACTTGTGCAATGTACCACTGCATCTTTTTTTTAAAATGCAAGTCCTTTCCATTTCTGCAAGGTCAGAATCTCTGCTCCACTTAGAGACCGTAAATGTGTGTGTGTGTGTGTGTGTGTGTGTGTGTGTGTGTGTGTGTGTGTGTGTGTGTGTGTGTGTGTGTGTGTGTGTGTGTGTGTGTGTGCGTGCGTGTGTGTGTGTGTGCGTGCGTATGGGAATAAAATGATGATCTGACAACTCCACTTACTCGATTATGCATTTCTTGGACTGCAGCATGAAGTCGCAGTAGTCCGTCCCCGTGTCGGTGAAGTCCACGGGGAGCGAGGTGAGTGTCCAGAAGGCCTCTGGGTCTTCTCTCTGCAGTTGCTCGGCCATGTGGAAGCCGTCCACCACCTCGCTCTCCCCTCCTTCCAAAGCCTGGTTGATGCAGTGCAGAAACTGCACCTACCCCAGCCAACAAC